AGTCTATGTGTACGGAGTGGCAATTATAGCTACGTTAAGAAAATAAACACGTGTTTTGTGTGGGAGTGCTGAGATTTGTGAGTGATCAACATCCCCGGGTGATCAACATCCCGGTCAGCTAGCTTACTACTGTATGTTTGTTGGTAAACAGGCACACGGATGAGCCAGGCAGTGTCGCAACTCCTAAGGTCTAAGCAAACAATCTTTGAAGCAACGATCTGCTTATGGTTGGAGAGCCATGTCGGAATCGTAGTTAGCCATCGCATCTTCTGGTGCTGCTAGCATCGATTGATCTGCAAGGCGCATTTCGACAATAAGTTCCCATAATCTTCTTGGGATCTTCTTGGCACAGTAGCATGGTACATGGTAAAAGATCGCAAGCTGAGTTTCGGTCGCTTGGCCGGCTTCTGAATTGGCAGTACATTCCAAATGCTTCCAGCTTCGGGAATGCCCAGCGAAGGAACATAGGCTGCGTTCCGCACAGAACCGATCCTTTCAGTAGGTCACTGAGGTGTAGCTTCGCTGCAATAGTCAACACGGGTTGAAGGGCATATCAACATCAGCAATCACTAGATAGCTGTCGTGCCGCATTGTTAAATGAGGACAGTCTTGATGGAAGGCTCGCTGAAAGAGTTTGCATGGTCCCCAACGTCGCTGCAATGATGCGCAAGCTGATGTGCGCCAGCGATCACGTTAGCGAAGGCCGGATACGGCGAATGAGAAGCGGGCAATATGCGGCCGATGAGGGTTGGCTAGGTGCGGCTGGGTGTTTCGAAGGGGGGCAGGACACGAGATGATTGAATGCGTCTGCTAGCGCCCCTGTCTGCGGACCTAGTAATGCCGCTGGGTAATCCCGCGAACCGAACGGCTGCATCACTGCAATTGCAGGCAGATGTGCGACACAACCATGGGCGTTATTCGACCTTCACCACCAGGCGGGGGTCGACGATAGAGGTGATCGGGCCGTCTGAGACCAGGCTGATGTGGCCGGAAACAGGTGGATGTGTAAGAGAGTCAGACGCGAACGGGCCTAGTGGAGGCAGGGCCGCGGAAAGGAATAACAATAAAGGAACAAGGCGCTCTGCGTCTCCGGACAGGTGCGCGGGCAAGAGGTGCCTGTTCAGACTTTGCTAACTTGTGTGACGCAATGTGTGCTGTGGAAGATTCGGCATCAAGCCCATCCATCCACGGGTCTGCCAAACGAGCAGCGAGGTCTAACGAAGGAAGTCGACCCTTGTCGGCGCTAAATCGAGTTAGACAACGAACCACTTGCACCATACATCGCCTCCTCGAGACTTCCTCGCCGCGCCCACACCATCATCGCAGCACTTGATACCAGATAAACAGGCCCTGTCGTCTGATGGGGCGCACGCTTCCGTTGATATGTGATGATTGTGGTGCTTCAATTTGATGAGACTGAGTAGCAACTCTGCCGATACTCGCACGCCAATGGTCTATTACCGTCGGCATGGCTGAGACAGGCGGAGCAACTGCGAATAACAGAGATAGTCGCCGCATGATGGGCGCGTTGCCGGTGTATGTTGGACAGGGGTGGTGGAGATCGTTCATGGACGAAGCGTGTGAACATGAACGTGCAAAAACCATCAAAAGAACACATCGTGACGAGAGATCCATCAGCGCCCCCATCCGTGACGGAACGGCGCATCCATACGGCGTGGGTGGATGCGGGCCTGGTCGTCAGGGTGCTGTTGTTAGCAGCACCGATGAGAAAGATGAGATATGCGTAAGAAAGAACTAGGTCCCACGGACGTAGCCTTGGGCCTAGCTTGGCACCGTTAGACCCATACTACAGCGAGTCCGCCATCTTCGATTCCTTCAACCACTGCTCCCTTCTTCACTAATTCTCCCCCACACCACGCTTTATCTCGCCTGACGGCGAAACAATCACCGGTTTCGCCATCGGCTCCATCAAGCCAACGGCCCAAAAACTCACAAATATCTAACTTTGACTTGCTGATCCCAAAATCGCGTGTATGCGCTGATGGGCCTTCTCATGCTGCGTTGATATCCGCACTTGACGGGCTTCTTCTTAGCGACAACCCTGGCGACAGCCCGCGCCTGCCTTGAAAGGGTTCTTCGACGTTCTTTGGCCTGGCCCTTCTATTGATTCTGCCTTCCCTTTAGAACTCGACATGGCAGACACGAAGAACGGCGAAGGCGAGGCTCCGTCTTCGACGGCTGGGGACCAGTCCAATGCACCATCACCGCGCAACGAAGAGGATGTGCAAAGCAATCAACAACATCAACCCAACGCTGCATCAGAAACAGCACCTTCAAAATCAACTAGCAAGGCTTCTTCCACTAGAAATTCGACACCTGCTGCTTCTTTGGAGGTACAGCACCCTGCACAGGATCCCGACGACGCGTCTTCTGCCATGGAAGACGTGCAACCATCACTGGAGGCCACCAACGGTACTTCAAATCAGTCCAAAGCATCATCAAAAGAGCCAGATCAAAATGGTGAGGCGCCATCGTCATACGGTACGCGATCGCGCGGCCGTCCTGGCAGGTCGCGACCTAATTATGCTGAAGACACCGAAATGGACTTTGAAGTGGGAGCTGTAGCCGCGAATGGCAACGTATCTGATCCGCCGTCGCGTAATTCTGTGGCTCCCGAAAACGGTCATGTTCCCAGTGTGAGTGGGAAGAAAGGTTCCGCCTCTGCACAAGGCAATGCATCGTGGGGTAATTCCGGATCCAACACTAAAGAAAACGCGCCGAATCCCAATATTTCCGGCACATCAACAACCGCTGCAACAACTCAGTCCAGCACACCACAGCCGCAACCCGCAACCAAACGGCGCAAAAATGCTGCTGCCAACGGCGCAAATGGTAGTCACGCGAGCGCCGCTGCGCCAAGCCAAGCAGGGGCGAAGCGCGGAAGCCATGCCAGCGCCATGGTAGCCGCCAACAGCGCGCGGGAGTCCAACATGATGACTTTCGAAAACACTGGCGCTTTCCTCGTCGATGGTCACTTGGAAGCAGACGATGGTCAGATTGTTTCCGTTAATGGTAAGTTTTGATTTGCTTTGGCTGCAGCTGACGGTCGCTCCGTTACGCCAGCCACGTCTTGCGGCTTGTTTTCCGTTTTCTAATTGGATGTGCAGATCAAGTGTACCTCGTGTGCGAGCCGCCCGGCGAGCCCTACTACCTCTGCCGGGTCATGGAGTTTATCCACGTCGACAACGACCCCAAGAAGCGGATAGAGTCCATGCGAGTTAATTGGTTCTACCGCCCACGAGATGTCCAGCGCTACAACAATGACACTCGTCTGGTCTATGCGACCATGCACTCGGATCTTTGTCCCCTTGCATCTCTACGAGGAAAGTGCCAAATCTTGCATCGGAGCGAGATCGGCGATCTGGACGAGTACCGCAAAACCAAAGACAGCTTCTGGTTCAACCAGGTTTTCGATCGCTTCATCCACCGCTGGTACGATGTTATTCCAGTCTCATCAGTCATCAATGTACCCGACAAGGTCAAGAAAGCACTGGATGAGCGATGGAAGTACATTTGTCTCGAGACCAGTCGGGTGAAGGAACTAACTAGCGCCGTCAAGAGCTGCAAGCGTTGTGTCGGATATTGCGCAGCGTAAGTTCTCATCTGCTTCCACACGTGACAAAGCTAACCCAAACAGGAATGACTCCGTAGAATGTGCTGTGTGCCACAACACATATCACATGAACTGCGTACGTCCGCCACTTCTGAAGAAACCATCTCGTGGTTTCGCTTGGGCTTGCGGTCCATGTAGTAGAGCTCAAGAGAAGAAGTTGGAGGCTCGGTTGGGTACCACCCACGAGGATGCAGAGGAAGAAGAAATCATAGACGAAGAAGAGGAGGAGGCGAGCGGCGACACCAATGCGACCACGCCGGATCTGGATTCCCAAATCGACACACATCCTGCTACACAGGCAGAGATAGCCTTGGCTAAGATGTGGCCCATGCGGTACCTTGGCATACATTGCCGAGTAGAGGACGCACTGCAGTACGACGATCGAGCCATCTACCCTCGCGCGAGTTCTAGGTTAGGACCCCGACACCAAGCTAACGTCAACGTCTGGCACGGTCATCCTGTGGAGTTGGTCAAACCGGCGGAGATCAAGAAACGCTACGTCAAGGCTGCCGGTAACAAGAAGGAAGGCAAGCTTTCGAAAGAGACGGTGGCTGCGATCGAAGCAGACAAGGCGGAGAAGGCTAAGCGCCCTAAGTGGGTGATGGACGAGCCGCCTGGATACGTTCGCCGTGGTCAAGATCTTCCGAACAAGGACAAGGAATGTACCGCGGAATTGATGTTCAAGATGCCACCGTTAGGAGTACACTCTACGCGAGGAGAAGATAACGCGCCGACCGTCACGGAGGACCAAGTCAAGGCTTACATGGACCGAGCGAGAGCCTTGGCTAAATCGCACGTTGGCGTAGAACCGTACAACACGAACTTTTTGGATCGGTGTTTGGCGCTCTTTACCAAGCACCAGTACGATGCAGATGTAGCGTTGAAGCATGTCAAAAAGATCGACAAGCGGAAAGACTTGAAAGAGCCTGAGCTGACCAAGGAAGAAGAAAAGAAGTGGAATGAGGGTGTCGCAAAATACGGTTCGGAGATCAGGCTCGTCCGCCTGCACACCAGCAAAACTATGTTCTACGGCGATGCCGTACGCTACTACTACATGTGGAAGAAGACACCCAAAGGAAGGGAGATCTGGGGCTCCTACAGCAGCCGAAAAGGGCGTACCAAAAAGGTGGAGCCTGATGCACAGTCCCGACTTGTTGACGATGTTGCGGACAACGCAGACGACTCGGCCTTTGACAGTGCAAAGGCCATACAGCGCAAGCGTCTCTTCCAGTGCAAGTTCTGCACGGTCCGCCATTCTCGCCAATGGAGACGTGCGCCTGGTGTGACACCTGGCCAGATGATACCTCCTGATGGTCGGTCCAAGGACAAGACCGGGTTCCTTATCGCGCTTTGCCTACGCTGTGCCAACCTATGGCGCAAGTATGCAGTAACGTGGGAAAACGTCGACGAGATTGCGAAGAAAGTCGCGCAAGGTGGAGGAAAGGCATGGAAGCGACGCATCGATGAGGAGCTCCTACGGGAGGTCTACGCGGCGCAGTCAGACCCAAGCTCCAAGAACGGTACCCCCGAGTATGCCGAAGCTCCGAGTGCCACTGCCCAGGCGACTGCAGAGCCGCCCAAGAAAAAACAGAAGACTGCTGCTATGACCAACGGAGACAGCGGAACGACCACTCCAGTCAACGAGCCTGTCTCGAAGAAGAAGGAGAAGGAAAAGTCTACTGCAGCCCCCAAGGCTCCTACACCCCCACCAGTTCCTTCGCCTCCGAAACTAAGGCCTTTGCCCTGCGCCGTCTGTCGATCGTCAGAAGGTTCCCGTCTAGAGTGTGCGGCCTGTCGGTTGACTATCCACAAACGATGTTACGGTGTTGAGGAAACACGACAGGCGAACAAATGGTACTGTGATACATGCAAGAACGACAAGAAAGAGAGCGTGTCATATGTAAGTTACATGCTGAGTATTGTCGAAACACTGCTGACTAGTCAGACGTACGAGTGTGTCCTCTGCCCACAGCAGGATACCGAGCAAGAGTTCTATGAACAGCCGAAGATTACCCACAAGAAGAAGACTGATCGCGATCGCGAAAAGGAGCGCCTAGAGAAGGAGCTTGTTGACCGAGCCAAGGACGAGTATCGCCTCCGACAGCAGGAAAAGGGCCGGCCGCTTGTGCCCCGGGAGCCACTCAAGCGCACTGCCGACAATAACTGGGTACATGTGTACTGTGCAATTTGGCATCCCGAGATCAAGTTCAGCAGCGCAACGCGTCTTGACATGGTGGAGGGGATAGGAGCACCAACACTTAGATACGACGCAGTCTGCAAGCTGTGCAAGACGACTGAGGGCGCCTGTGCATCTTGCTTGCAATGCCATGCGACTTTTCACGTTGGTTGTGCCCACAGCAACGGCTACACGTTCGGGTTCGACATGACACCAGTCAAGGTTTCTCGGAGGGATGCAGTGCCAACGGTTACCATGAACGGAGAAACGGGTACATTGATTGCGGCGATCTGGTGCAAAGAACATACCCCCAAGACTGTTGTTCACCCCATGAACGAGGAAGTGGAAGGGACGGAGCTGATCGCATTGCAATTATTCGCGCGCGAATTCAAGCAGGCCGATCTTACCTTGACAGGCACTGCGCGCAAAGCCAACTTGGTAGACCAGTCGACACGCATCGTGCCCCAAATTGCACCGACCCCAGTTAATCGCAGAGCATCCGCAGTCACCGCGCCAACGCCCACATCGGCCCGTGGTCGACAATCGAACGCTGGCATATCAGTCAAAGAAGAATCTGCCGAACCTCCTGCGCCCAAGCCTGAGCGTAAATGTGTGCGCTGCAAGATTGAAGCTAGTCCGCGATGGTGGAAAGTTGACGCAGATATGCCAGCAACACAAGCGCCTCGTGTGGTAGATGGACCAATTGACCGTGATGGACAGACAGACCAAAACGGCCACGTTGAGAAGAAGCCTGTTGTCGAAGAGGGTCGAATCGTCAATGGCAATGGCCAAGACGATCGGCCAATGACGGATGCGCCAGCTGTCGCTCCACCTGCGCATAACACTTTGCGGTTGAATACTGATGTGGACGCTGCTTCCTCAGCTTCGTATATATGCCAGAAGTGTCATTGGAAGAAACAAAATGGTACGACTGACGACGAGGAAGAGCGAGCGAGGTCGGTATCGATCTTCAAAGAGCCACCGCAGACATACCCTTTGCCGGCAACTCAGATACCACCATATCCACCTCCACCTCCCTCCTTAGCAGGAGGATGGACATTACCAGGTGGTCCCGCACCAGGCCAGCCCCCTCCGCTACCCTCCTGGCATAGCGGTGTCCCTCCGGGACCTGGACATCCCCCGCACCATCTACCCAACGGGAATGGATACGGACCACCACCACTACAGGGCCCACCTGTTGGTCATATCCCTTCGTTCCATGCACCGTACCCACCTCAGCCGAATGGCTACGCGGCTTTCTCAGGTGCACCAATGCACTCTGCGATAGCAGCCGCAGGGCTTCGGCCACCGTACTCAGGACCGCCTATTAGTGGACCTCCCCAGCTACATCATAACAACGGCGCAATGATGGTCAACGGTGCTATGCAATCCCCACGGACGATTCCGTATTCGCCAACTCATCCTCATGCCCATCCGGCCTCGCGTGAAAGCCCATTCACTGCTCCTCCAGCAGTCGCGCAGTACCCCGTACTGCACCACGGTAGCCCTGCCCCTGGCAGACCGGCAACACCCATGGACACGGTGATGCGCGATGCTCCAGCAGTGACGTCGGCGCCCACCGAACGCGCCAATACCGGGGCAAGTGCTAGCCCATCTCTCCGCAACTTGTTACATTAGACTTTCCTTTCGCTCCTTCTCCTTTCTATCTGTGTAATCCGTTTCATCTGAACTTGAAGCATGGGATCGGAGTTGATGCCTTTGGGCGTTTTCAGTGTTGGTTGCAGGAATATGACCTCACAGGACGCCATATTGCGAAACATACGGGGAACACGGTGGAAGTATAGAGTATGGCAGTGAATCCGTTACTGGGCATGTAATTCGGCGTCTGGTGGCATTATACCACAACGTTTACTCTGTGTTTTATCATTTTCCCAGCTTTAGAGTCAGCGACGCTGGCTCCCGACAGTACTGAATACATTTTAAACTTGTCATCATTTTGTCTCCATTGTGCGGTCTGTTGTGCCGTGAAGTTCTCCTCAACTTGTTTAAAGTTTGATCTACCAATATCTTGGTATACACGAAAAAAGAAAAAAGGCTTCTGCGGCGGCAGCGGCGGCGGCGGGCCATGGCTGTCTGACGGTAGCGCACGTGCTCGAGTATGCCCGATACATGTACTAGAAAACACAGGTTTCAACACAGTAGAATGAACCTCACCGACTGTTGCATCATAGCTCACGCGCAGCTTCCAAAGCGATAAATGCTACAGCCACATTTTGGCAGTCGACGTCGCGGAGTGAGGTCCGCCACATCCAGCCAGGCCTGCAAGGAACAAGCTTTCCAGCCCTGCAGGGCACGGGTCGCGATCCACTCCTATCCACGCGTCCCTTGCATACCTCATCCCGACCTCCCCAACCTCGAATTCTGGATCTGCCCCAGCCACAATAGTCGTCGCTTTTCTTTTGATTCTTTCTTTTGCGTCATTCATTTATCGAATCTCTGTTTTCATAAGTTTCCATTTATTTTCCATCAAGCCACTTCCTTGAGTATATACCGTCGAGGTTCAGCCACCTCCCATTAGCCGCCCTTCCATCCATCCCATCTTGAAACCTAACACATCCACGCCTTACACATCTGAAACAAGACCCGTTGCCAACCCTCTCCACACGCGACACACCTCCCTCTCGGGAAGCTAGTCGACCGAAGGAACGAACGACGTAGAAGTGGCGCAGCCTATCCATTAACCGCTCATATCGACCATATTATCTCCCTGAACTGCGGCACGTACTGGGCTTATACCAGTCGATCCTCCCTCCTACGCTCTGAACATATACATCCACGACTCGCCTTTTCCCGAGAGTTGGACACACACACACACACACACACATACACCACATCACAGCCATGCCTTTATTATCATTAACAAAGAGATACTACTGTGTCGACGACTTTGCTGGAGGAAGGGAATGCTATGAAGGTGATGATGGTTTTTGGTACACAGATGTATGTCTACCTTTTACCTCCTGCTCACGAGACGTTAAACTAACAACGCAACAGAAAGGCATAATCGTGAAATGGATAATACTTGCATCGTTCTTTGTCATCTTCTTCGGATGGTTCGTAGGAGGTCGTATCCACGCAAAGCAAAGGTTAAGAAAGGGCCTTCCACTGCTCGGATACCATCGCGTACGTCTACCCCTCTTCCCCCTTCAGTGTCGACGACGCCATCAAATACTAACAAGCAGTGCAACAGTTTCTGATATCCTACTCGGAACGTCGCCGCCATGGCCAAGTCCCCCAGAACCACTTCACCTTTTACCAAACACAAAACCCCTACGCACCCAACCCACAGTACACACAGAGGCAGGACGGCACATGGGCGGAACCCCCGCCGCTGTACCAGAACACCGATGCGCCACCACAATATTTTGCGCCACCGCCGCCCGGTGCCACCAAGGCGAACCCTAACCAAGGGGCGCAGGCTATGGAGATGCCGTTGTACGGTGCACCACCACAAGGAGTACCTCAGCAGACGGGACCTCAGCAGAGTGGTGTCATTGGTGCGGATGTAGAACAGGGTCAAACACAGGAGCTACCACCTCGACCGGCAAAGGCGAAGCTTATGGGTGTATTGGATCGCTTTAGACGGTAGACAGAATACATAAGAAGATGGCGCAAGCGCTGGGAAGAATACGTGACTGGATCACGTTTATTGCATTCATGTATTAACAAGCTGTTGAACCATATCTCTATAATAATTTGATGACCAAGCAGACGTAATATTCATTCACTCAATAATCAATCAATCAATGTCCATGGCATCGCCGTCTCCGTCTGCAGGTGTTGCCGTAGGTTGGGGTATCGCATCCATCATCCTGTCTTCTCTAATGATAGGACCACTACTGTGGTAGTTATTCCTTGCCAAATCTACATTCTCAGGTTCCGTTACTGGGTTCACCTGCTTATCCCTGATGCGTTGTCTTGCCTCTACAATGGCCTTGCGCACGTTGTCTTGAGCCTCGGGTACTGTCAGACTTGCAGGTACATTGTACAGGACCAACTGGTTCTTGTCCGTGGGCTTGGGCTCCGGGCCCAGTAAGATGTGCTTTGGTATCTTGGAGAGATGCTTTTCGATATCGGAAAGGAAAATGGGATTCTCTTCGTCGGACTCAATGTCGGAGAGTTCAGCGCTTAGGTCGGAAATGTAGACTCTGTGGGGGGTGTCTTCTACCTGCATGCCGGTCTCTTCTTCTTGGGCGCGGGGGAAGCGTGGCTTGCGAGGCTGTTTCCGCCTGGAGGCGACAAAGGCCAGAGGGTCGCCATAGGAGGTGGGCGATTGGGATTGGCGCGGGAGTGTGGCATCTGTTGAGCCCGGAACAGGGATGTAGAGGCGTGTGCCATTGTTGTCTACTGCGATGGTACAGTTAGCATGGCAATCTAGCGTCTGCGGGGGGATTGAGCATACCCAAGTTGAGCAAGTCGAATCGCTTACTCAGCCGCTGCTCGTTCTCGAGGGAACTGTCTGCGGCTCTCTTGGTGCCGTGGGGCGCATTCTGTTGCGCATAGGGAGGAGGGTTGCTAGCGACTTGCGCCATGCATCGCAGCTTTGGGGGTGAATCTGTTTCACGGGAGTCGAGGTCAGGTTGCAGTGCGAGTCCGAGACAGCCGATTGGTAGAGCGGGGTGATTATCTGGCGATAGTGGTGCTGTTACGGTGGTGCGATCGGGGCATGGTGCTGGCTGGGGTTGTTATAATGGACATGTAGTCTAGGCGCAGTTACGTGAAGCTTCCAGAAGGGCTGAGGCCACCGTCGGTCCTCCGAAGCTCCTACGCCCGCCGCCCGCCGCCCAGTCAGCCCCGCAATCGCTGCACTGGCCTGCAGCTCGGCGCCCGCACCCACATGTTTTCGTGAATGCGCCAACTACTGATTAGAGCCCCTCTGAGTCACCAAAGGGTTAGACTTGCCAGTCAACCACGGCTTAGCTGTCTCAGTCAATCAAGCCACAGCTCTCTCCACCATACGAGACTCTTCACCCACACACGACATCTTTCGCTGCCCCTCCACCACGACGGCAACGCGCAGGCCGCAAACATGTCGCTCGTAGACGAGAAGCACGAATGGAGCGCCCTCCGCGTGCGCCAGACCTTCCTTGACTACTTCAAGCAGCGTGGACACACCTTTGGTGCGCTTCTCCTGTCACACTCCAGATGCATGCCAATTGACAACAACAAAAACAGTGCCTTCCTCATCCGTCGTCCCCCTCTCCGACCCCACCCTTCTCTTCACCAATGCGGGCATGAACCAGTACAAGGCCATCTTCCAAGGCACCATCGACCCCTCGTCCGACTTCGCACAGCTCAAGCGCGCCGCCAACTCGCAAAAGTGCATTCGCGCTGGTGGAAAGCACAATGACCTCGACGATGTTGGCAAGGACAGTTACCACCACACCTTCTTCGAGATGCTGGGAAACTGGAGTTTCGGCGACTACTTCAAGACCGAGGCCGTAGGCTTCACCTGGGAGCTTCTCACAAAAGTCTACGGCATAGATCCCAAAAGGTTGTACGTGACCTACTTTGAGGGAACAGATGAGCTGGAGCCAGACCTGGAAGCCAAGGAGCTGTGGAAGAGCGTGGGCGTGCCAGAAGACCACATTCTGCCCGGAGACATGAAGGACAACTTCTGGGAGATGGGTGACCAGGGGCCATGCGGACCTTGCTCAGAGGTACACTACGACCTGAGAGAGCCAGTCAACGGAGAGTACAGGAACGCTGCCTCGCTCGTCAACATGGACGATCCCGAGGTCATCGAAATCTGGAACAACGTCTTCATGCAGTACAACCGCGAACCCGACCGATCACTACGACCCCTACCGAACAAGCACATCGATACCGGTATGGGCTACGAGCGTTTGGTTTCGGTGCTACAACACAAAAAGTCAAACTACGACACCGATGTTTTCACACCACTGTTCAAGAGGATACAAGATATCACTGGAGCGCGCGAGTACAGGGGACAATTCGGCGACCAAGACCCGGATGGTATCGATACCGCATACCGAGTTGTCGCCGATCACGTTCGCATGATGAGCTTTGCCATTGCCGACGGTGGTGTACCTAACAACGTCGGCCGGGGCTACGTCGTCCGCCGAGTGCTACGACGAGGTGCACGATATGCGCGCAAATACTTTGAGACGGACATTGGTGACTTCTTCTCCAAAATTGTCCCCACACTGGTCGATCAGATGGGCGACATGTTCCCAGAGATCAAGAAGAAGCAACAGGACATCATGGAGATTCTGGACGAGGAAGAAAAGGCATTCGCCAAGTCGCTGGATCGTGGCGAGGTCATCTTCGAAAAGTACGCGCAGAAGGCCAAGGCCAAGGGCTCAGACGACTTGCCTGGAGATGATGTCTGGCGGTTATACGACACCTACGGTTTCCCCGTTGATCTGACAAAGCTCATGGCTGAAGAGCGAGGCTTGAAGATTAAGGATGAAGAGGTCGAGGCCGCACAAGAAAGAGCTCGCGAAGCTAGCAAGGGCGACAAGAAGGCCGGCGCGGTAGTTGTCAAGTTCGACGTACACGACCTTGGTGCGTTGGAGAACATGCCCGAAGTCCCCAAGACCGACGACTCCGCCAAGTTTGGTCGCGAGAACATTACCGCCACCATCAAGGCGATATACCACAACAAGAAGTTCCTTAAGAGTACAACAGAAGTACCGGAGGGGGAGCAATTTGGAGTCTTGCTTGACAAGACAAACTTCTATGCCGAACAGGGTGGCCAGGAGTTCGACACCGGAAGGTTGTTAGTAGATGGCGAGGCTGAAATCAGTATTGAGAACGTACAGGTCTACGCCGGCTACGTACTACACACTGGTTACATCAAGTACGGTGAGCTGAGCGTGGGCAGCGACGTCATTGCCGAGTTCGACGAGCTCCGAAGACATCCCATCCGTAACAACCACACCGGCACCCACGTTCTCAACTACGCTCTCCGGGAAGTCCTTGGTAACGAGGTCGACCAGAAGGGTTCGCTCGTCGCACCGGAGAAGCTGCGTTTCGACTTCTCACACAAGGCGGGTCTGTCAGACGCGGAACTGGACAAGGTTGAGAAGATCTCATCCGAGTACATCAAGCAGGACTCGCAGGTATACGCCAAGGAGGTACCTCTCGCATCCGCAAAGGAAATCCGCGGTGTCCGTGCCGTCTTCGGTGAGACTTACCCCGACCCGGTGCGTGTCGTCTCTGTCGGAGTACCAGTCGAAGAGCTCCTCAAGGATGTCAAGAACGAGAAGTGGGAAAAGCTTTCCATCGAGTTCTGTGGTGGTACGCACGTGCTCAAGACAGGCGAAATCAAAGAACTCGTCATTCTCGAGGAATCCGGTATTGCCAAGGGCATCCGCCGCATTGTCGCTGTAACAGGTCAAGAAGCCTACAACGTGCAGCGTATCGCCCGTGAATTCCAAGAACGTGTACAAAACATGGGCAAGATGGCTTTCGGACCCCAAAAGGAAGCTGAAGCCAAGAAGATCGGTGTCGATCTTAACAACCTCACTGTCTCTGCCATTGCGAAGAGCAAACTCCGGGAGGAATTCGCTAAGATCCAAAAGAGCATTCTCGACGAGCAAAAGGCCGCTGCCAAAGCCGATAACAAGCGCGTACTTGATGAGGTGACCAAGTTCTTCGAAGACGACAGCAAGAAATTTATGGTCAAGAAGTTGGAATGGTCAAGTACTGTCAACAAGGCTATCAGCGAAGTTATCAAGACTATCTCTGGGCCTAAGAGTGCGCTCAAGGATCGGTCGTTGTATCTCTTCTCCGCTTCGCCTGAAGAGGGTAAGGTTGTGCATGGGTGTTATGTGAGCGAGGTATGTTCTTCTTGCAGACCCTGACTCTCTCGACAGCAGTGCTAACGTTTCCATGTAGCCATTCAAGAACGCAGGTGCCGATGGACCCAAGTGGGCTGCTGCTGTCACTCCAATTATCGGTGGCAAGGCAGGTGGAAAGCCAGGCGCTCCTACTGCCATTGGCCAGGGTACGAACGCGGATAAGGTTGATCAAGGTGTTGAGGAGGCAACAAAGTGGATCGAGAATCTCAAACTCTGAGATGGTACTTTGAGGTGCTGAGATGTGAGCATGTAAGATCCCGTCTTGGTATATTAGACGGAGCGAGAGAATCTTAGATACGCAAGACCCAATGCATATGCATGAAAATGTACTGCCATGTCCAAACAGAAATCTCATGTCATGATCACGCAAAGTCTAGGGCACAGTCATTATGATTCGCGTCATCAACCTCTTACATGTAAAAACATGTTGCAGCTTTGGAACTTGATAATAGCGTATCCATAACAAGCAGCGAAGGACTCGTAACTCTAAAGATGTAAATTACACTTCTTTACCCCCTCCAAACCAAAAACAGATACCAAGCCCCGCCAAGGACAATCACAGTCTTCAGACTCGTCCTGAACTCCCACCAGAACAAGGCCAGTCCTTTTCTCCGTTTCCTTGGCTTCCTAGCAGCCTTGGTGCTCACACCATAGACTCTGACCTTCTTGTCCCTATCATGATCGTCATCATCGTAGTCCTTGGTAGGGTCATAGCCCGCATGTTGTACCAACGGGAGATTATATCTGGATTGTTGACTTTGTTGTTGCTGCATGTTGCGTGTTTGAGTGGTTGTGCGGACGGATAGGTTCCCCATGCGTTCAGAAGACGTTGAGGAATTTGACGAATGTGATTCCTTCTCCGCTGCTGTCGTAGCAGGGAACGTGCTTGTATTTGTTGTAGGCAGGAGAGGACTCTCAGTCGTCATGTCTGCTTCGCTTGAGGAGACGACGCCGAGAGTAACGAGAGCCGCGCGAAGTATCAGAATCATCAACGTAAGGCCAAATAGCAACCCGTATTTGAGAAATGTGCCGATTTGATCTGGAAGTAGACATAGCTTTGTTTGAATTGTCTTGCTCGCATCGCCGTTCTTGGGGTTGCCGTGTACGTCGACAGGATTCCATAAGCTGACGAGTTGTACACCAGGAAGTCTAACGCCCATGGCCCAGCTAGTGCTCTTGACAGTGATTTCTCGTATGCCGCCACCGGCACTAGTATATGCTTTGTGGAGAACCTCGCAGTAATCGTGGTCGTCGCCTGAGAAGGCGTATCGTATGTCTCCCACTTTCTCGGCTATGTCGGCAGTGATCTCGCGGTTGAGCACATTTTGGTATTGGTATCCGCCGCGCACGGAGATGGCGTTGCGGTCGTCGTGCTCGAGGGGTGGTTGCCCAGCTGGTGGAGGGGTTGGGGGCCAGTGTTCGCGAAGAGGTCCGCAGGGTGTACCTGGTGCGCGGTAGAGAGGGACGTGGGTGAGGAGAATCGTAGGGAATTCGGTGATTTCGTCATTGGCGTGTGGAAGTTCGGATGTCGCTAGGTCTTTCTTCTCAATTGCGTAGTGAGGCATACCAGGGTAGGGTCTGAGGCCCTGCTGGGCACGTAGCTCGCGCTGTATCAGACGCCTTTTACGCTTTTTCGCATCTTCGAGGAAGTCTTTCGTAGGTCGCCATAGCTTCTCCACCTGTTCTGGTGATTCTTGACCGAGTGCGCTTAGGGAGACGCTGTCGATTGAGACGAAAGTGTGATTTGCAATTATGTCGATTCTGCTTCCATCACCAAAGTATGCATTGAACCTGTCTCGGACGCCTTCTTGCACTCCTCTGGCAAATCCCAGGTCATGGTTACCAGGTAAACTGCTTATGAGCTTCCTCCCAGGTTGTCCAGGTCTTGGCTGCATACCCCCGTCACCCCAGTGCTTGAAGAATATGTCCCCGAATCTTCTGTACTCGTTCATCCAAAAGTCGTTGCCATACTTGCGATATTGTTTTTCAGGCGAAGTAGTGGTGCGCGTAGACCATTCGCGGCCACCATCAAATAGATCGCCAAGGAAGAATATAGTGTCAGGGTATAGGATAGTCTGAAAGCGAGAGTAGGTGCGGCGAAGGTAGAGATCCGTGTACTTGTAGGCAAGAGGGTTGAGAGGCCACGGGCGACCTGGATACGTGTGCGGATCTATGAGTTGCGGGTCGGCGACGAAGACGAGTCTGTGGGGGTTTGCGCCAGCTTCCTAGACACGTAGTTAGTCTTGCGCACATGTACAGATATCGGATGGTATGCTCGTACCCAGTTTTCCCAGTTGTCCCAGTTGCAGCTCTCCACAGCGCTGTTGAAGACACCTCTTTCGCCCCAGTATAAAACTACCCACCACAGCAGCACCAGCGCTCTCACAAGCGTAAACAGCCGCTTGAAGCTCCAACTTCCACTTTGCAGTTCATTCCTCTTCTCCTGCACAGCAGGCCGTATGCGATATAAGAAGAAAGCCCGCACCAGCCGCCATGCTTGGTGGGTTAAGCTCTCCGGTTCTGAGTATGCGCCGACGGGAACGCCATACTCGTCGTAGGTTGTCATTGTCTATCAAAGAAATGAAAGAGTTGCTGGTGCAGCATTTTGGAAACAGGTTGACGTCGAAGGGAACGTTACGCAGTCGTGAACATGTCGCCTACGTAATGCTCAAAGGGGCACCAGTTGCGTCGTGTTAATGGTCTGGGGAAAATGCGGCCAGGGTCCGCCCGGGCGAGGCTGATCTGCCGCTACGAGGGACCCGACGCGGGCGTCTGCAGTGTAACTCTGCTCATCACCAAAACACATGACATGATGCTGCACACGTCCAAAATGCGTCATCTAAGTAATCTTCTCGAACATATGCAAGTGATATCATTTGGAACATGCTAAAAGTACAAACAACATTTTCCCTTCCCCTCTAGTACTCAAGTGTCACCTCTTGACCCTTGACCCGACCAATAACGATCTCAGGTGCGTACTTGGGAATGACTTCATCGTCGTGCAGCATCTCAAACTCCTCTGATGCATCTTTGCCCATATGGCTAAAGAGCGCCTGAGGACCTCCTGGGTGCTCATCTGTCCAGTTGGTCACGTCCATGACAATACCCTTTACGGCGATCCATAGATCATCCTTCTTGTTGTGCTTCGCAACCTCCTCGAGCGAGAATTCCTTGTCTGGAATGCTGAACTTCTTGGGTGCGTTGGGCTTGGAAACCTTGCCGGGGTCACTTGAGTCGCCGTTTGAAGACATGACCGGAGCGGCGGATTCCTGCTTTTGATGCTGAACGGGGTCCGACGACGAGCTGGCGCCGGCTTGAGCGTTTCCACTGACACCGTTGCCCCACTCGACGGATACCTTGCCCGGTTGTGATGGGTCGATGTGTAGCGAGATCTGACCGAGACGGTTTACAGCGGCACCACCAGACTTGTTGAGCGCTTGTTGGAAGAGGTACTTGGAAGCAGACTCTCCTGCTACACGACCGTAGACAACGCAGCCAAGGAGTGATGAGCCACCGAGGCGGTTGGCACCATGGACACCACCAGCAAGCTCACCACAGACGTACAGACCATCGAATGGCTTGCCCTCGGAGTTCAAGCACTGTGCTTGGTCGTTGATCTCGATACCACCCATGGTGAAGTGGAGTACAGGCTCCATTTGCGCAACGTGGAAGGTGTCATTGATGTCAAAAGGCAGGTTGTGGAAGTACTTTTTGTTCCACTCGTCCTTCTTCTCGCCCTTTGCAATCGCGTTGTAGCTTTGGAACTCTGCTTGGAGGTCCTTGTCGCTGATACCAATCTCCTTGGCGAGCTCTGCACCAGTCATCTTCTTCATCAGGCCACGGCCAGAGTAATGTCTTGTGTGGAAATCGAGGACGTTGGATGCTTTCGAGTTGAGGACGAGGCGAATGGGCCAGTTGCCCTTGTCCTTCTCGCCCCACATCATACCGGAGACGTAGTCGCGGTGACCGAGGTCGTCGCAGAAGCGCTTGCCCTTGTTGTTGAGAAGAATACCACCCTCACCACGGAGAGCTAGGAACTGTCAGCGTGGAACAACGAAGTCGGTAGTAGTGTACAAACCTTCAGCGGCCAGGAACTTAGTCTTCGCCGTAGGGTCCTTAGGGTCTACCAGACCGGTAGGATGAACCTGAACCTTGTCCATGTCGATGCCGTTGGCACCAATCTTCATCAGCATCTTGTGTCCATCACCGGTGGCGTGAGCACCGTTGGTGGTGGAGAGGTCGTAGGTGTCTGGCCTCCACTTTTTCAGAAGAGAGTCCTCTGTAAAGTCGGCGGCATAACCACCAGTGGCCAGGATGACAGGGCCCTCAAGTGTTGTCTCCTCGCCGTTGAATGTGTAGGTGACACCGGTAGCACGGTTGCCTTCGGTGTTGATCTTGGAGACCTTGGCCTTCTTGACGAGCTGGACGCGCTCTGGCTCCTGCTCGGCCAACTCTTCGAATCGTTGCATCAGGGCGTATGTGATGGCCATTCCGGGGAACTTGGCATCGTGGCCACGGTGGGTACGAGGTTGGGAGTGACCACTGTCAAAGTCAGTACATGTGTGAGATGCGGGAATAACGTCAAACGTACCCCAACCGCGAAACGAGAGTCAGATCGAGGTTGAAAACGTCCATCAACCACTCGACGGCAGCAGCGGACTTGTAGGTCAGAACCTTGATCAGGTCTGGTCGCGCCTTGTCTCGCGCAGATTTGAGTGTGTCATCGTAGAACTGCTTGACGCTGTCGCCAATCTTCTCATCTACTTGTGTCCTTGTAAGGGCACCGTTGATTCCGGATGTAGCCTTGGTGGAGTTGCCTCCCATGAAGTTGTTCTTGTCCAAAAGGACGACATTTCCACCAGCAAGGTAGATGGTATGAGCAGCGCTCAAGCCGGACACTGTCGTCGTGGTTAGCTATGCGCGTGACGGCATATGATGCAGTGATGCTTACAGCCAGCGCCAACAACAATAACTCTCTCAGGCATGGTGATGAATGCAGACGAAGAGGGAATGAAAGTAAAAGACGGGGTATCGAGAGAGCAGATGAGGGCGAAAAGTCTGGGGATCGGCTTCTGCTTTGTATGGATGCAACGGATAGGATGCTCGGCTTCCAGCTAGCACTTGAATCGTCGCAACTTGTGCCTCGGAAGTGGAGAATGCGCTAACCCGCATGCACCTGTCGCCGGGCGGACCCAATCATGTGGCGGCTGTTTGTACGCCAGAGATGTGAGATTCACCCAGACGAGCCTGGATTGCGCTGCTGATGGTAATATCAAGCAACTGCTCAGCTGTCGCATGTGAAGACGCTCGTCTCCGTCACTATACACATGACTTGGGTATGCGAGGCGTGGTTGGCCCCATGCGCAACGCTGACCTCTCCTTCGGACGGAACGCCGAGGAGCTGGGGCTTGGAGAACCTGGGGCAAGTCACGCGTGGGAACACGCAACTCGCCGTTGGCATGTGAAGGCTAGAGCACATGTGATACTAAGCCTAGCTAGCCACAACCATAACTCTGGAACATCGTCGACGCAATGCATTCGCCGCTCGTTGTTCTTTGAATTGAATTGTTACGATGTTTGTTGATGCTTGAGCTTCACGATGCTCGTAATGGCAAATCCTTCCGCACAGGCATCAAAGCCCGATCGGTGTTTGCTCGCACGAGCGCAACACTTAGCGGGCGATATTGCCGTCTTCGGAACTACAACAAGTCTATGAACTCATATCGGAGTATCATCTTATACCGACTTTTCAAGTCGCTCCGACGTCAAGGTATCAAACTTCGCATTCAAGACCAAGGTTGCGTTATTTCAACTTCATTCTGTGCGTACAAAACGCTTCGGGGTAGCTGTTGCCGACGCCGCCAGACCTGGCTCGGTACGTTCTCGCGCGAGGTCGACCCTGGGCACCGAACAGAACTCCAACTGTGTCAACAACGTATTGCGAACTGCCTGTTTACTCTATATCTGGGGTATCCAAAGCCAAGCTTACGAGAATAGCGGGTCCGACCCGTCGGCGCTGCAGGATCCTAGGCCCGGATATTTCAGGACATGCAAATCCGTAGCTCCGACCGAGGGCAAGCAAAACACTGTGTAACCATTTGTTTGCCTTCCTGACCTTGTACTACTCTCCAGTCCTCTGAACAGCCTCATGCCAGATGTTTTCCGTTGCCGGTCCCCTTAGTGACAGGCGACCGACTTGGTGGACGAAGACTGGCTGAACATCAGGTATCCGACGAATGCACCCACTGCGACAGCAAGCATAATCCAACCGTTGTACGTCATGAAAAGCAGCCTATGCATATCAGCCACAGCCCTCGACTCCGCCTTCATTGCAAAAACACTTACATGATGAAGAACGAATAGAAAACCTGCACAGCATACAAGACAGCCTTGATCATCTTCATCTGCTGCTCGGCACTACGCCCAACGCCTCCGTTTCTCCCTGGGCCAAGTAATGAGCTAGATTCATCTGCGTCGTCTTTGTACGCGTAAAGTTTACTCAGCGAGTGTTCCTCAAGGTGGTGATTGAAGTGAAGAAAAGAGACCTCCCTAATCTCCTACTTCCACGCCTGCCTCTTAGAGTCTTTCCACTACCCCGGTGGTACTTGTATAGAAGAAGTGCACTCACCTCTGGGTCCCTCCATGATACCCTTTGAGTACGCCTCATAGCGCCTTGATATTTCTCGGATAGCTTCGTACCCAGCTGTGAGCAGGACTACGGCGAGTAGCGAAAAGATGAGTGAGCCGGTGCCCGAGATATGCCACGAGGGGAAGACAATGCAGAGGTCGGTCGTGTCCCACGTAAACAACATCTATCACATCATCGAAAGTCAGCGTATGTTCGTTTGAGTATCGATACGAGGAGAGAAGGGTGCAACCGTACGTTCATGTTGCACTTGGGCCCGTCGCCGCCCATGCCAGGCATGTCGTGGCCCATGTGGCCGCCGTGATCCATGTGCGAATGGTCCATCTTTCTGCCGTGCTTTGCTATTGGAACTGGTTGAGATAGTTTGTTACTGGGAGGAAGGAGATATGGACGATGGACTTGTGTCTCAAGATAGGCGGGTCTAGGAGCGACATGTGATGGCACGCGTCGCACCAGTGATCGACGCATGCACGCACGAGCCGCGGCTACGCGGGGGCGAGAAGCTCCCCACTTGTGTTTGGACCCTTGATTGATTACATCGATGACTTTGTACATTTCAAAGCACGTCAGGCAAACTTATTGCACTGACTTTACAAAGTGAAGTTCGAACGTCATATGCGCAACACACCACCATGAACACAATGCGATCATTACGACCAGCCATTAGACTCGCGCAAAGCGCCTCGCGACCGCTATCGCGTACTCCCGCAGCACTCTCACAACGCCACTTCTCGCAGTCGCAATCACATCGAGAACTAGGCCCACCGTTGAACATACCAAAATGGTACATACACCGAATTCCATACAGATTCTCAACCGCTCCATTCAACACGAAGCAACACAGCTAACCCATCATTCCAGGGTCTCCGAAAACTCCCACATGCTCAAACCCCCAATCAACAACTATTGCGTCTACTCCGACCCCGTAACCGTAATGATAGTCGGCGGCCCTAATGAACGAACCGACTACCACATCAACGAAACTGCAGAATGGTTCTACCAACACAAAGGTTCCATGCTCCTCAAAGTTGTCGATACCTCGTTACCATCGGGTCAGCAGTTCAAAGACATACATATAAATGAAGGAGACATGTTTTTGCTGCCCCCAAATACTCCGCATAATCCCGTGCGCTTCAAAGATACGGTAGGTGTGGTGCTGGAGCAGAAGAGGCCGGAGGGTAGCCTGGATAGGCTGAGGTGGTATTGTCAGAATTGTGGTGACAAAGTGTACGAAGCAGCATTCCATTGTACGGATCTCGGTACGCAGATCAAGGATGCGGTGAATGCTTTCAAGGCGGATACGGAGAAGAGAACATGTAAGAGCTGCGGAACACTTTGTGATACTGCGCCACAACCAAAGAAGGCCTAAAAAAACAGAACTGAATGAAGAGTATGTATGATATGTACTGTAGTGCAATGGAGATTGGTAGTCTTGTCTAGAGGCCTTTCCACATGATCTTCGAAATGTGATCCGTCTTCTTTCGACTGGGTCTTACTAGGCCGAGGTGCCTGAGCTCAGCTAGGGCTCGCTGGAAGAGCGCCCTGTAACCTGTTAGAATACTTTGTTTGTGGTATATGAACGTGGACTTACATGGTCTTGGGCTCATTCTCCTCCGTTCCATCTCCTGCAATGGCATTGAACGCCGACCACAGATCTGTGACGTTGATCAACGTACCGGACTCAAGGTACATCTGATATACAATCGCTGTCGCAGGTTGGGTGGCAGAAAGAGCTGCAGGGTTTCCGTCCACTCCACTACAGCAGTCGCAGCTCAGATAGTCATGAGGAGAAGCAAGTGCGCGCTCAACAGCAAAGCGAGGCCTGGGTTGGAAGACTTCTGTGTGTGGTGACTTTAGGTCAAACACGAAGATCTCTGAAAGAACCAATATTTTTGGGTCGATTAACGAAGAGGTAAAGTACGTTTCGAGCTGGTCGTGGAATTGTGTAACTAATTCCGAATACGCCTTGTCTTGTTCCGACAGTGCAGCTTTGTGCTTACTGAGAAGTACTTTTTGTGCTACGACAGTGGTTCGTACACTATCATTGCGAACATCGTGTTGTGTTCGGAGAGGCGCATCGGCATTCTGTATCAAACTCTCGAGCTTGTCCTGAGCGGAAGCGGTATCCAGGGCGAAGTAGTCCCCCTCGAGATTTCGTAGTGATGATAGTAGAAGTACCAATTTATCGGATGGAATCTTCTTGATAGACAGCATCGTTTCGCGGATTAGAGGAGATCCAATGAGTTCACCAGCAGCTGCTCGAGTCCAAATAGAGGACAGACGGACGCTGGGTGACATCTGAAGAGACTCCCGGATGTTTGCCAATACTTTTGCAGCATGACTCAGTGTAGTCATGGAGTGTAGTCCAGATTGCAGATGTTTTGTGATCTGAGCGAATAGAAGTTTGTTCTCTTCAAGTATCCCTCGTACATCTTGCACTTGACCACCCTCTAGCATGTTTTCGACCCAATGACGGAACGAGGGCAAAGTACGGACAGCCTCAAACGCGTCCGCTGATACTTGTTCGAAAGCAACATCATGCTTGAGAAAGACACTAGGCACACTAGCATAGAAGTGCGACATGTAGGCGTACTTCAGCCCATCGCAGAAATCCTGTGTGTTCTGAACATGATCCTTTTGCCGATCCAGCATACGGCGGCAGAGATTGGCGCCAACGTGAAGTCGAGCATCTGTGCCAGCGATAGTTGCGCGGAATAACTTTTCAATGATTTCATCAGATTGGGTAACGTCGAACTTCTGGCCATCAAGGTAGCGGAGTGAGTTCCCTGCTAGGCGCTCCTCGAAGCTCTCTGCTGAAGTCGCAATGCCAAAGAGTAGGACAAAAGGCAGACGGTCGAGCCATGAGCTATAGAAGTCAGCGTATACCATCGCCAAACACAACAAACTTACTGAAGCAGGTCAACTACATCGACAAGTAGTCCAACATCGAAAGCTTCGCTATCTTGTAGAGCAACAACAATGCTAGAAGCGCGATTCTGTCTATTCCATTCTTGAACATGACCGAGATCGTAGTTGAGCAACTTAGGCCCATGCTTTGAAGATGCGGCGGGCCGACCTAGGTCATCCTCATCATCATCTTCCACGCGTGAAGTGACCTTCTTAATGAGCGTTTTGAGGAACGTCTTCAAATTCGGACATTCACCAGACGTTAACACGACATAGGCGCAGTTGACGTCTCTGATACCGCGTCCCAAGCGTTGGAAAAAGGGGCCATGGGATGCAATACTGGGACCAGCCACGATGAGCGCTGTCGGTATGGCAAATTTGGGCTCATCTGGTGATGCACTGGAAGCCGAGACGAAGTTGACAATCTTTTCTTGGGTGGCACTATCTGCGCCCTCCAAAGTACTCTAACAAAATTAGCAGCTGTTTTAGATATGCGGAAATGCGGCTCACTTGAATGCGCTCTTCTTGTTGTGCCCACAACTCCCGATACGTGGCTAGCCGTTCTGGTAGCTGCGCTTGTGGATCGAATTTGCCGGTTCGCTGTCGCTTTGGCGATCGCTCTTCTGACTCTGGCGGTTCATATATATAACATTTCTGATGCTCCATCTTCGTTTGTTGTCTGGCGTGATGACTACTCTATCTGTTCGATGTTGTTGATGTGCAAGGGCTAGGGGAAGGCGCGACGAATCGCGAATCGCGTGAGCACGGGACTTGGTGATTTGGTCAAAGCTCACAGCCTGCTCTCTCTTGAGAAACTGAATACCAGCGCACCACTGTCGCACGAATGCCGATGTTCTGGAAATTGGAATACCATAGCTTGTTTGTATTTTGCTTGCACGTTATCTCTACTTGAGTATTCTCAAGAATCCTCATTCATCTTCGCATGCTCAGCAATTCATTGACTGAGAGCTATTGCGGCTGAGGCCCAGAATGCACCTATAAGGCGCCTCACCTTTGTCTAATATTAGACTACATATTGTGGACGTGAAGAAATTAGGTTCCTTGCTTGGACTAGAGGTCCTTGACAGTTGCATCTTCCGGAAGTCATTGTCATACTGTAAAAGCGACTCCGAGTATAACAGTCACAAGATTGCGCGATTTCCAGACGTACCAATACGCGTTCCCGCCTACTCTGGGCCCTAGGGCGAGTAGTAGTCGTGTTTGTAGCTTCCTTTACTAAGATTTCTTCGCATAATGAAGGCTTTCATCTTTCAGTCATGGTCCTCTTCAGTAACTCCAGGGCATCCTTCCATTTCTGCGTCTGGGTATTCGTAGCCACAGTAGAGACAGTATCGGTATTCTTCACGCAGAAACACCAGAACCTTTTGCAAGCGCTCCGCTACAGGCAAGGCCTCAAATTCTGCCAACTGTGGGTCCTCATCTTCAAGCTCGTTCTCAAGAGTAGTGTAGAATGGCGCAAGGTCTCGACCTTGCGCTATCTTTGAATCGTCGTCATCGTCTTCGGCGGCTAATGTGGGTAATCGTGACGAAATACTGTTGTTCAGTTCTCGGCGTTGTTGCTTGTCGCGCTTGCCCTCCATCCTGCGACGCGCACGAACACGCCAGAGGACATTGATGTCCTTCAGTGGTTTCTCACTTGGATCTGTCGCGCCTTCCGCTTCAGCGTTCTTGTCGGACAAGCGCTCAGCTGTCCTCTGCGCGTTATCCAGGTCCCGTTCTGCCTTCTTCTCCTTCTGTTCTTGGCGCAATATCTCGAGATAGTCACCCTCCTCTTCTTTTGCGCGCTTTGCTAGTCGGTCTGCTTCCTCGAACTGCTCCCTGAACTTGCGCTTCTTCTCCGACTCCAGACCGATGCCTCCTCTGTCGTCTTTAGGATTGACTCGGATAGGCTCTTTGCGTGCGTCTTCGGACTTGCCCAAAGCATCGCCTTGCTTGAAACCGAATTTGGCCATCATCTTGAATCCCTTATTGGTCTCGGGCAGGGCAGTAGCGAGGGCAGCTTCTCGTGCAGCTTCGGCTTCTTCTTGTTTTTCGGCCTTGGTCTTCTGTCGCGCTCTAGCTTCACCCTGTCAACGTGTTAGTGTAGCAAAATCCAGCAATGCCACCAGACGCACCTCTTTGCGCTTGCGCGCTGCGCGCTGTAGGGAAGTCTCAAACTTTGGTCCTTTTGGCGCATCGTCGAATACCATATTCATGTAGTCATCTTCCTCGTCTGATTGCGCCATCTTGTGCTGTTGAGCCTTGCGCTGGTAAAAAAAAAATGTGTTGTCGCTCACCTCGCCAGCCACGACTCGCAGGCTGCCCGCAGCGGCAGCGACCCACTACATGGCGTTCCCTTGGCATATGCCAGGGCAGGCGATCCCCCGGACTCTTCTTTCGACTGCATCTCCTCGCCCAATCTACCACTACTAACATTTCTCAACCAGCGCTATAGTCACGCATCGAGCACATCTGGTCCAGGCATATCTTAGGCCGCCCAAACGGTTGAATCTCCCGCCATAGACCCAAGAGGCTCTAACAACGGTTAACGCCACTTACGGCACTCGGGAATGTGGGCTGGGCTGGTCTGGCCCTGCGTGACAGACACCCAAGGATTTGTAGACGGCATGAACCGCGTATCGCTGAAGCGTCGGATCCTACGGCAACGCACGATCGTGGGCGAGAAAATCATTCACTGGCACCCCTTGTCGTTCCATGTATGTCGAGTCGTGGAGAAGCAGCCGCTTGTTAGGTCCTGGGTCGGTTCGGCCTTGTGCAATTCGTCTCGGATCTCGTTTTTCATGTGAAGGGGCGGGGCTGGTGATTCCGTTACTTGATGCAATATACCGCTGTCCACCTGCTCCTTTGGACTGTTTCTTCGTCTGCAACAACGAGGCGCGGATCCCGAATACAGATCGACGACCGACAAGCAATCGCTTGCATTGGTCGCCGCTTCAGGGGGTTTTGTCCACTTCTAACCCCAAAAGGTACAGGGCCCGCGCTACCGTCTGGGGTAAGCAATGATCTGTCGCTATCCGGACTAGCCAGGGTTATTCGATATGATCGCGTGTCATTCCACTTAACGCCTTTTCGCCTTTGGCTGTAGTCGACACAGCCAATCTAAATAGTTCGACATGGCTAAGTAGCTTGGCTTTGCTTGCTGAACTGACCACTCACGGCTTTTTCGGCGCCATAGGTTACACAACTTGGCCACTGCTCCAAAGATTCGTCGCGCATGTGCAAGTTGATCCTTCGTTGGTTGGATTGCCTCGGCTTCGTATCCTTACCAGATAGGTGGTGAGTATTTCGGGCAATCTCCATAACAGGCTACGGTCTCGGGCAACCCGTCGCCTTGATGACCATCGCTAAGACGCCTGTCACTGATCGCACCCTTTTGACACCCGTCGTGCTGTCGGCCCATCACCAATGATAATCTGGCGCAAGAGGGGTCTCGGTGTTTTTGTGTGCATGTGCCAAATCTTCTGAGCATTCCCCAGCTTTTGACGACTTCAACGTGTGCTTTCCCCGCGTCCTCCGCCTTTATACCTTGTTTGGGTTATTCTTGGTATCTCTTCATCCTTCTACTTATTTCGCGTGTTAAGCCCTGCGGGTCCCCTGGAGAGTCCACAGGTGGCCTGAATCGCCATCAACCGGTGGATTCCAGATTTGTCGAACTTTACTCTACATCATCTTTACACCTAACAGAAGGCCTTCAGTATGGACGACAAGACCGCCGGACAGGCACGGGCAGACGATGTGTATACTACGCCCCAGAAGAAAGGCGGCGTCATCAACAAGCTGTATCCACCAGGGCCAACGCCAGGCGCAAAAGGACGCATGAAGAACCACTGCAGAAAATTTTGGTGGTGTGGTAAGTGTGTTCTAGTACCATCAACTTACTTTCTGTTTACACTACTTCAGATTGTCTGGTACTCGTGATCATTGTTTTGGTCATTGTTTTGCCAATCATATTCGTCGGTGTGCCAAAGAAGGCACAGCATGAGATCAATTCCTCGACAATCGAAGTTACTTCCCAAGAGGTGACGGATCCGCAAGCAGATGGGATACATTTAAAGATCGATACTGTCATCAGGAGTGATAGTAGTTACCACCCTAAGATCGATGCCTTCCGTGCCGGTTTGTCGCTCGAAGGCCAGGAGCCTTTCCTTTACGTTGAGATACCGGAGGCCAAATCTGAAGCAGAAACGCGTATTACTGTTGATCAAGACGTCAAGTTCGCGAACGCAGATGCATTTTCAAACTACACTCGAGCTGTTCTGGATGCCGAGACATTTGAAATCCACCTTGATGGCAAGACGACTATTCACCTCTCTGGTCTACCATCTATGGATGTCGATTATAACAAGGTCGTTACAATGAAAGGTATGCGCCCCTTGGACCTATGTTGGACCATAGTCTTAACATGTTTACAGGACTAAATAAACTTTCCGGGCTTAACATAATCGACGTTCGCCTTCTCTCCGGTAAAGACGAGATTTTGTCAGATGGCTCCAACCTTATTGCCAACGTCACCATTCCCAACCCGTCTGTCATGACACTCGATCTGGGCAACGTCACCATGAACCTCGCCGTCGATGGCACTCCGATTGGCTATGCTCTCATTCCGAACGTCTTCCTCACGCCTGGGGAGAACAAATTCCCTCTACAAAGCCACGTCGAACAGCTCACTCTTCTGGGCTTAATCCAGGGCAAATACAAGAACGGTATCTTACCGCTTCAGATCGTGGGCAACTCGAGCGTGAAGGGTGACCAGCATCTTACGTACTACGAAGACGCGATCAAGAGTAACACGATCAACCTGGATCTGGATGCCGGGCCGGCGTTGGCTGGTATTGGAATCAACATCACCAGCTTTGGTTCTTCGTAGATTACTTAAGGTCTTCGCAATATCTTTGGGACCTCGCTTCCCAATGTCATCCGGGATAAGTTGAGGAAATGTTGGGGGGAGCGGCTGGTCTAACAGCAGAGCTAGAAAAGTCTGTGTCCGTGGACGATGTAGTGGATAATGTATGATACCTTGTCGTTGCAGTAGATAATATTGGTCAAGTTATGCAAAAAGATTCCTTAGTACCTTCGGGTAACGAAGTATGCTGTCTCTTCCATCGATGATTTGAGTTAGCGATACAATGCCTCGATCATTAGCAGATGAAGGCACATATCAAAGCTTAGAGAAACGAATTGAAGAACTACTGATATTTATACTGTAGTGTTACGGTGTATGAGTAAAAACGAGCGACTGGTTGGTCTAACATGTTACTTTCGCACATTTCTCCTAGTCAGGTCATTGAGATTGGCATGATTCACCCTTGATAGAACCCAGTCGTAGTCAAGGTAGGTGTTCCGCAGATTCACGTAGCTCTTGCACTGAATCTGCCGCATCCGTTAAGAACCCTCTCTCAGAATGCTCATACCAGCCAGCTGCTACTTCTTTACTCACGGGAACACTTCGGAACTTTTCCAATGTCGCTACCACATGATGTTCGTGATGTGGCGCACTGGTAGGAGGCATTCGGGAGAAAAGAGATCAACGCGCTTAGCTTTGGCTAACGCGGCTGTGAGGGATAGGCTACCACTCCACGCTCGTCCTCCGGTTCTCCTTTGAACTTCACGCACAACAGTGTCCGGAATTTCGATGTCAAAAGTATACTGATCTCTTGTCATTACTGGTCAGATATGTTATTTGAATACCATCGGTGAGTTGACTTGAAGGTGAGAGACATGGAAGAGATAGGCGGGAGCGAGGCTTTTGTATACTCTGTAAACCTGATAAATGATTTGGTAGCGAGCGCAAAGGTTGTCCTTGACAACGAATGAGACAACTCATCGCCAGCAGCTCACATCTTCCTCCTGATTCCCAGTGACTGCTTTCATTACTCCACCCGACCACCCCCTAACTGTCAATTCCATGATGCAGGAGCCAACCACCGTCTCACTCCCCAGTCCGGAGCTATGAATTCTCTTAACCTTCAATTTCCCATTCGTCGGCAAAGAACTCTGCAATGTTTCCTGCTGCCCGCGGACCCACTGCGCCTTCCAGTTTCTTCATACAGCCGGCCGCACCAGATGCAGCACCCAGAGCTAGTATCGCAAGCTCCTTCAGACTACCCACAACGTCACTTAGAGCAATGACCTGTGCTTCATCCAGTGGCGGCTCAGTCGTGCAGTAGGGGAGTAGAACGTTGACTGCATTGACGACGACACGCGCTGGTTGGCGAGGTGGCAGCACAGAAGCTACGTTGTGAGATGGAAGCGGGATCCGGGCCTGGTGTTGTTGCTGAAAGTAGAGCTGGGTACTGTGCTGAATGTAGCCTATTGCGCTGTTGGTCATACGGGAATAGTGGTCGTTTGCACCGTCTAATTGGGCGGAGACGACAACGTTGACAGGATGGGTAGTAATGTCTGGTGGATACATGTTTGGAACTGCGGAGCGCTCCTTCTCATTTAAGATAGGTTTGGTCTTGTTGGTATAGTGTGAAACGTTCATGATGAGCGCAGGCGTGAAATGGTTCCGGTATCGATCGCTATAAACGTGACGTTAAAACAAATCAGTTCGCGTGGTCGTCAGAGGTGAGAGATGAGAGATATGTGCGCTCGTTGTATATGTAATCGTCCCTGATGCTGTGGAGCTGAGCATGTTGTTGTGGAAGGCACGTAGACAGAGACAGATAGAGCGACTAAGGGGGCATGAACGGGCCATAATAGAGACAGCTTATCAAAGAAAGAAGACTATTTGAGGTGTCTCTTTTGGATCTGATACATGCTTGATACATCGATGTAGACAACAATATCCTAGAAGCAACTGGATACATCCACAATATGCGTCATGAATCACAAACCGGGGAGGAGACTGTGAACCAAATGCGTCTATTATGCCGAAAGGGTATCATGAGAGGAGATGATCGTAACGAAGTTTTTGATAAACCACAACAAGACGGGCCTCTAAGCTCGACCTGAGAGGTACAGGATCGCCAGCCTGCGAGTATTTACGCTTCCCGGGTATACATTCCTAAATCCTTATGCTGGGTTGGTTGCGTTGTAGGCGTCCCATTCGCAGTTTGCGCAGCATCGCCTTGAGTCTCGACGGGCGCCGGCTTCGCCTCGGTGCTCACAGCTTCAATCTTGTCGTCTTCCTTCTTCCCAGTACCCTTCCAAAACCCCAGTAGCTTTGACGACACTGGCTCTGGATGTTTCGCTTTGAACTCCTCAAACTCTGCCTTGACCGCCTTGAGCTCAGCCTGCACCTCCTCCAAATCTTCCCTTATATCGTCTCTGGCATTCTTGGCCTTTCTTCTTTGCCGCCATTGCTCAACAAGAATCACAGCAATACCGACGGCGAATATGAAGGTTTCAGCAGCGAAGTTGGCACCCATCTCGATGGCCTTTTGTTCGGACAGAGGTCGTATGCGTGGCTTGATCCTCTCCTCAGCCTTTTTCTTGATCGCATCTCGTTCCTTCTCTGTGAGAGCTTCCTCTGCCTTCATTTCCTCTTCGGTGAGGACCGTGGGTGCCGCTGCTTTTTTGCGCGCAGCCTCTGCTAGGGCGACTTCTTTCTTGATTTGCCTGTCTATGACAGCGGGGTCCTGCAGCAGGCCGAGGCGCATGCGCATATCCACGCGATGCAGGCCTTGGGCGAATTTGACGCATATTCGACGAAATCGGTCGTGTTCGTGGGCATTGCGTTTGATGGCGTTCTGGACGACATCAGCTAGGGCTATACATGTCAGAAGCTAACGAACGTACTGCTACGGGCTTTGCGAGAGTCCGGACGAACAGCGACGTAACTTTGAGCGTGAGAGACATAATCGGTTACGAGAGCGTTTCGGAAGGCTGTGGGGAGGTATGGAGGTAATTGACCGGCGAGCGGTTTTTCATTTCAAGCCTCATACGAACAGACACATGTAGAGAGCTGGACAGCGGTTCGTGGTTAAATCAACGGTGGTGTTGAACATAGCTGCAGGTTCGATGTTCAAATCGATGCTGCCTTGGGCTGGCCGGAGATCCACCGACGGCAATGGCTTTTGAGAGTGGGACTAGCATCTCAGCGACGACGCGGGACGCATGACGAGATGCATGGACAGCTCACAGTACTAATTCAAAACAGTCTTGGTTTGTCCTGCACCATCTCAAGTGCAAGTTTGTGCAAGGCCGCGTGCATCGAGCGGACAGTGCCGGGCACCGATTGGCCGACAGCCCTAGCAACGACGCTAAGCGGGCCCTTGTTTACATGCCATCAACACTCTGCGACCTTGTTCTCGATTCCATCATCTCTCCAACTACCACCACCACGCCAATGTCTGCCTCGTCGATACACGCAGATGCCCCGCCGGCCGTGGTCCAGGATCCAGAGGGACTCCAATATGAAACGGGAGCACAGCTCGGCAAAGGCGGCTTCGCTATCTGCCATCGCGCGAAGCTGCTGGGCCATGAGCATCTCGGCAGCTCTACAGTCGCTCTGAAGATTGTCAAATCCAAAATGGAGCCTCCCAAGCTGGCGCAAAAGGTACAGAGAGCCTGGACACGGTGGACGCATGTTTGCTGACGCGCCTCAGTTTGTTACTGAATTACAGATCCACTCGAAGCTATCCCATCCCAACATCGTCGAGTTCTTCCGCGCCTTTTCTTTCGAATCAAGCACCTATGTTGTCTTGGAGCTATGCGAAAACGGTTCCCTTGCCGATGCGATCAAGAAGCGCAAATATTTCACCATGCCTGAGATTAGGCGATTCATGATCCAGACATGCGGCGCAATCAAATACCTACACCAACGGAACATCGTACACCGCGATCTCAAGACAGGCAACCTCTTCCTCGACCGCGACATGAACGTCAAAGTCGGCGACTTTGGTCTTGCAGCACTATTGGTGTCACAGAGCGACTATGGGGCGATCCGTCGGACAACCATGTGCGGCACACCCAACTACCTTGCCCCAGAGGTCTTGGAGAAGACAGGAAAGGGTCATGACGAGAAGGTTGACCTATGGGCTATTGGAATCATGATGTACACACTGGCGGTCGGAAGAGCGCCATTCCATGCCGCCAAGCGCGAGGACATTTACCGGAAGTTGAAGGCTCGCGAATACACTTGGCCAGACCTGGCCAGGTTTGCCAATGAAATCACCGACGACCTCCGCGACATCGTTTCGTTATTGTTGGTGCACGAAGACGAGCGACCGACTCCCGACCAGATCGTAGCGCACCCATTCTTCAAACTGGGCTACATTCCGTTGGAACTAGACAGTGGATGCACCTCCCGCGTACCGAAGTGGCCGAAGAACCGTCCACCGACAGCATCGACAATCAGACGTGGATATACCGAGGAATGGTGGCAGCTTTGCAAGTCCTCGTCCGTCGGCGAGTACGAACAAGGAAAAGCATTTGGAACCTACGGTCGCAGGACGAACAAGACTGTCGCGAGGGACTGCCAAAAGGAGATCGAAGCTGGCAAACAGCCAAACATACCCTTCTCCAAAGACGTCGTATATGTACCTTTCCCCGCCCGCGTGCAATGGCCGCATCTGCCAACAGGAGGACTCAGTGAAATATCGGAAGAGAAAGAATCGTCACTAGAAAGTCAAGCTCTCTCAGAAACTACCGGAAACGAGCGGACAAAGAGTCGTGTGGCTAGGGCTCCGAGACGAGAGCAACAGGCGATGCAGACATTAAAAGAAAACGTGGAGCCGGTACAGGAGCCTGAGCCTGCGCACAGAATACTGGACAAACAGCCGACCCGATTAAGGGCAGCGCGCAAGATCTCGAACCCTGGCCGTGTCACTGCGAATACGGCTTCCGCGCCAGCTCCCCTACGCGTCCCTCGAGAGGCAAGAACTTCCACGCGAGCACGGACAGCGAAGGAGAGCGCAAAAGAGGCACCAAAGACGACATCAAACGGACTGCCTGATCTCCCACCTTTACGAGTCACCAAGACGAGCGTTGAAGAGAGCGACAAGCCGGAATCAGCGGCTCAAGCAACGTCGACTAAAAGTGCCGCTCGTTATCGAACCGTCAGCAATGACATGCCTGCCACCGATCCGGTGACTGTTTTGGCGCGCTTGATGACGTTCCGAGACAATCTTGAACGAGCTCTCGATAAGAAGCCTACGAAGTCGAGAAGAGACCAACCACCGCAGTTGCCATTTGTTGCAAAATGGGTAGACTACAGCCGCAGGTATGGGGTTGGATACGTCCTCAATGATGGTAGTATTGGAACTCTCCTCTCAGCAGAGGAGCAGTACCCCGTTACCATCGCTTTTGCGACAGACGGATACAACCATCTACGGAAGGCCGGCGGCAACCGAGAGCTCGCCAAAAGCGTTGCACTGAATTACTACACGACCGTCAAGAAGGATCGAGGACTGTCGCAGATTGAGGTACTAGAATCGCGACGAGTTGAGGAGATTCGGACTGTTTGGCACAAGTTTGGAAAGTACATGTGTGCGACGTTTGGTGACGAAGAAAAGCCGCTCAGGAAAGATCCCCGCGTAAACTTTGTTCGATTTTATCAACGCCTGGGTAACGTCGGGATCTGGGGTTTCGACGATGGCTCCTTCCAAGTAAGTGCTTCTGATACGTACACCAAAGCTCATCTAACAGTTCCCCAGTTCAACTTTCCTGATCATACGAAGCTCGTTCTATCGTCGGACGCAGGCTATGGACATTTCCTTTGCCTACCACTTGATGCAACGTCTCTCCTCGAAGAGACGGGAAATGTGCCATGGAAGCACGTTAAAGCTCGAGCACATCTGCGAGGCTCATTGCAACAGCTTCTATACGGCTCAGCCGACAAGGAGGACAGTTACAAAGAGCTTACAGAGGGCAATCTCCTCCGCGCAAAGATCGAATTCATCTACGCTGTGGTCTCGGAGTGGTGTCAAGAGGGAGGATTAGGCTGCCTCGTGGATCCCAAAGTGTACTCTTGGGGGGGTCCCCAGCTGGAAGAGTCAAAGCGTTTGGACTGGGCGAGTGTAGGGCGTTTTGGTGGTGATGTTTTCTCATGATGATTGAATGACCAGCTTCAAGGCTAAAGCGATGGCGTTTGTGGGATTTGGGATATTTTTATTAGGCACTGGGCATTTCCATGGCGTCTGTGCTATTGAGCAGTGCTGTTCGCTTTCGTTCGAACACTCATTCATGACGGATTGCATGTTGGGGCGTTTCCTCGTAGCGATAACCTTGAATACGACTGAACACGCATCTGGTCACGAACACCAAGATATTGGTGCCTAATGCCTAAAACTGTGACACGTCACGAGAAATTAAGCGTACGCGGCAGACTCGGGCTGTCCTTGTGTTGCGCCTCTGCTGCGACAGTGATTGATGCGGAAGCTGGGCCGAGCCTGGATGGGTCACAGCGACGGTGATTGAATGGTGCAACAACGTGAGCGTCGGCGGTGATGGTGGAAGCAATGCAACCATGATGAATAACAGTCTCACCTGTGCAGGACGGCAGGCAATGGAGGTGAGGCAAGATTACGAAGATATTCCAGCCGCCGCGGCAGCGTACGCGTACTTCGTACTGGAATAACTGTGGCTGTGCGGAATGGGGCGAGTACCCATTCCGAAGCGCCCGATTCCACGTCCAGGGCTCTGACGTTGGCCTGTCTTCAACAACCGCATTGCAGCCATCCTTAGACACCCACACCTTGGAGCGGCTGCTCTTTCCATAGCGACCCTACCTGGCTTTGCCGTCTATTGTTTGAATATTTGCTGCACCCTGGACTCAGCAGCACACTTACTACCCCACTGGCCGGCTTAAGCTACAGGTCCCAGCTCGACGTCGGGCACCAATCATGGTAAGAGGCACAAGGACGTGGATGGAGGAATATCTGCTCACACATTCCTGGTGTAGGGGAAAACCAACCGCGCCGCGCGCAAAGCCGGAGGAGGCGCCCAGCCAAAGGCCCAGTTCGCAACCAAGGCCGTCTTCGAGACCACCAAGAAGAAGGAAGTCGGTGTGTCGGATCTCACCTTGATTAGCAAGGTCTCCAATGAGGCCATCAATGAGAACCTGAAGAAGCGCTTCGAAAATGGCGAGATATACGTGCGTCGACCCGCTTGCGCCAGCCCCGCGTCGCACACATGTGCAGCGATAGACAAGGACAACGACTGACTATGGGCGCAGACATACATTGGACATGTGTTGGTCTCGGTCAACCCGTTCCGCGACTGTACGTACGAGGATTTGCGCTTGCGAGAGGGATGCTGACAAGTGGCAGTGGGCATATACACCGACCAAGTGCTGGAGAGCTACAAGGGCAAGAACAGGCTGGAGGTGCGGTGTTTATCCCTCCACCGGCACGCAGAGCTAACGAGAGACAGGTGCCCCCTCACGTCTTCGCAATCGCCGAGTCCGCCTACTACAATATGAACGCATACAAGGAGAATCAATGTGTCATCATTTCTGGCGAATCAGGAGCAGGAAAGACAGAAGCAGCGAAGCGACTTATGCAGTACATCGCCAACGTCTCAGGAGGCAGCAACTCGTCTATCCAGGAGATCAAGGACATGGTGCTGGCCACCAACCCTTTACTCGAATCCTTCGGAAACGCAAAGACGCTGAGAAACAACAACTCGTCGCGGTTCGGAAAGTACCTCGAGATCCACTTCAATGCGCAAGGAGAGCCAGTGGGAGCAAACATCAACAACTACCTACTTGAGAAGACGCGGGTGACTGGTCAGATCACAAACGAGCGCAACTTCCATATCTTCTACCAGTTCACAAAAGCCGCATCCTCGCAATACAGAGGTATACTACACCTCCGTAGACCCTTAACCTGTGCTGACACGAACAGAAATCTTCGGCCTACAACAACCGCAAGCCTACCTATACACGAGTAAATCTAAATGCTTCGACGTCCCAGGAATCGACGATCATGCCGAGTTCGACGACACGCTGAATGCCATGAAGGTCATTGGACTACCACAAGCTGAGCAGGACAACATCTTCCGAATGCTTGCAGCAATTCTGTGGCTAGGAAACGTAACGTTCCGTGAGGATGATTCTGGCAACGCAGCCATTGTGGACCAGTCAGTCGTGGATTTTGTGGCTTATCTCCTCGAAGTAGACTCGGCGCATGTCAACAAAGCCCTTACCATTCGTGTTATGGAGACGAGTCGAGGAGGACGACGAGGTTCCGTATATGACGTACCTCTGAACTGCGCGCAAGCGGGCGCAGTCCGAGACGCGCTATCAAAGGGAATCTACTTCAACCTTTTCGACTGGATCGTGGAACGCGTCAATGTTTCCTTGAAGGCCCGAGGCGCGACCGCCCAGTCCATTGGTATTTTGGACATTTACGGTTTCGAGATCTTCGAAAAGAACAGCTTCGAGCAATTGTGCATCAACTACGTCAACGAGAAACTACAACAGATCTTCATCCAATTGACGCTCAAGGCGGAGCAAGAAGAGTACGAGCGCGAGCAGATCAAGTGGACGCCCATCAAGTATTTCGACAACAAGATTGTGTGCGATTTGATCGAGGAGAAGCGGCCACCGGGTGTCTTTGCTGCCCTGAACGACGCCTGTGCAACAGCCCATGCCGACCCAACCGCCGCGGATCAAACTTTCGTCCAGAGACTAAACGCTCTATCGTCGAACCCCAACTTCACGCCTCGTCAGGGTCAGTTCGTCATCAAGCACTATGCTGGTGAAGTCTCGTACGCGATTGATGGCATGACCGACAAGAACAAAGACCAGTTACTAAAGGACCTGCTAAACCTGCTCGGACAAAGTAGCAACACTTTTGTACATACGCTCTTCCCGAATCAGGTAGACCAGGACAACAGGCGGCGACCCCCAACGGCTGGAGATAAGATCAAGGCCTCTGCGAACGACCTGGTAACGACTCTGATGCAAGCTCGTCCGTCCTACATCCGTACTATCAAGCCCAACGAAAACAAGTCGCCCAAGGAATTCACCGATGCCAACGTACTTCATCAGGTCAAATACTTGGGTCTTCAAGAGAACGTGCGCATTCGAAGAGCCGGATTCGCATCACGTCAAACCTTCGATAAGTTTGTGGAACGATTCTTCTTGTTGTCACCCAAGTGTTCGTATGCCGGAGAATACACTTGGACTGGGGATTACGAGACCGGAGCGAAACAGATCTTGAAAGATACCAATATTCCAGCGGAGGAATTCCAGATCGGTACAACAAAGGTGTTCATCAAGACTCCTGAGACGCTGTTCGCCTTGGAGACAATGCGCGACAAATACTGGCATAATATGGCTATTCGCATTCAACGTGCATGGAGAAACTACCTGCGATACCGAACAGAGTGTGCAGTACGGATCCAGCGGTTCTGGCGAAAGCTCAACGGAGGCAAAGAATTCATCGAATGGCGAGACCAAGGGCACAAGATCCTCCAAGGCCGTAAAGAGCGCAGGAGGTATAGTTTGATTGGTTCCCGAAGATTTATGGGCGACTATCTCGGTATTGGCAACAAAGGTGGCCCTGGTGAGGTCATTGCTGGTGCCATTGGTATATCCTCGAATGAGGAAGTACCATTCTCATGTAGAGCGGAGGTGCTTGTCTCCAAACTTGGTCGATCGAGTAAACCAGAAGCTCGCTCGCTGATCCTCACGAAGAAGAACGTCTACCTCGTCAAGCAGGTCATGGTGAATCGCCAAGTTCAGATCCAGGCCGAGAGGACAATACCTGTGGGCGCGATTAAGATGATTAGTTGTTCTACACTCAAAGACGACTGGTTCTCGATCGGTGCTGGGTCACCCACCGAGCCTGATCCACTCGTGAACTGCGTTTTTAAGACCGAGTTCTTCACTCAGCTGACGAACGTATTGCGGGGTTCACTGACACTTCAGATAGGCGAGACGTAAGTAAAACAGTTCATTTGCATCTGGAAGCTGCTGACACAAAGTAGGATTCAGTACAATAAGAAGCCTGGCAAGCCGGCCCAAGTCAAGGTCGTCAAAGATCCCGCAGTGCCGAGAGACGACCTGTACAAAAGTGGCACCATCCACACTGGACCAGGAGAGCCACCCAACTCTGTCTCTAAACCCACACCAAAAGGCAAGCAGATCGCTGCAAAGCCCATCACAAAGGGTAAGCTGTTGCGGCCCGGTGGCCCTGGTGGAGGTCCCTCAAAGCTTGCCTCTCGTCCAGCACAACCGAGAGCTGTGCCCACGCCTGCCGCTGCGCAACCGAGAGCTGTACCTCAGCCAGAAGTGTCGCAAGCCAGACCCGTTCCCGCACCGGTCGCTGCCTTGTCAAATGGCATGGGCGCTCACGCGCGTACCGCGTCAGCCGGTTCATCGCGCACGCCCCCTCCGCCTCCTCCGCCGCCGCCGGCGCCAGCTCAACCAAAAGAGCCTCGGTACAAGGCGCTGTATGACTTTGCAGGTCAGAGTGCTGGAGAGCTGAGTCTCGGGAAAGACGAGATCATCCTGGTCACACAGAAGGAGGGCAATGGTGCGTACACCCTGATCTACGGATGAATTGACATACTAACGAACATGTGACAGGTTGGTGGCTAGCATCCCGTCTTGACAAGTCCGCTTCCGGTTGGGCACCTTCTGCGTACCTTGAGGAAGTTGTCCAACGTGCTGCCGCTCCGCCTCCACCTCCAGCGCCACCTGCCCGCCCAGCGAACGGCAAGCCCAAGCCTCCGGCTCCGCCTGCCAAACGTCCTGCTGCTAGAAAGGCTATCAACGGTGACTCTGGGCGGGATAGTGGGTACAGTGGTAGTGGAGGTAGCACCATGGAGAGCGCGAGAGATAGCAGTGGTAGCATCGCTGGTGGACTAGCAGAGGCACTTAGACAGCGACAAGCCGCTATGCATGGAAGGAAACAGGAGGATTGGTAGATTCAAACTCAATGCATCACCAGAGATGCTAATGTGGAGAATAGAGGACTACGTTGAAAAACCCTTTGATCGATGGGTGAGCAATCATGTAGAACAACGGTGTATAGTCATTGTTTACTTGTGTTCATGCTGTAATTGCGGCATGAGCATCAAAGTGATAGTTTTGGTTATGCACTACTGTCTCATACAAGAGACTTCAAAGTGCACTACACGAGTCTTGTTGCATACATCGATGCGCTTCAACACTCGGCCCAGTAACCTCTAGGATCTCACTAATAACGCGTATACTGGCCAATATGCTCTAAAATCATTGCCCCATTATATTGGTACACCATGATACCTTCATCGTGTCGCAGGGCAAAATTACATGTGATTTCGGATCTAGGGAAGCTCAATATTACTGCGACTGAGGAGTCGGAAGGTGATGCGGATCACGCTTCCGGAGTCACCTGCCACAGATGGTCTTTTCAACACCAACAGAATACAGCGCTTTGCATCTCAACGAAGTACTTGCTAGTACCAGCTTTTGGTACTTGTAAAAATGTGAAGTGATTACAATAAATTACTATAGTGCCTTTTCATTTGCTGGCCCTCCAACGATGTCCCGACTAATTCGTTCATGTGTCGTGTGCCAGATATCGCGATGGTAGAAGGCTATCAGGCGGTGCGTGAGTCGATAGCCGACTTTGACAGTGGTTTCTGAATAGATTCGAAGCCTTAACGGAATACGAACTCGCATATGAAAGCGCGGTCAAGATATCCAGGCTTCGCGACGATCATGGTCGCTTGGAGTTCAATCACAGCATCTTGCGCACGTGCTGCGTTGGTGGGGTAAGAACCATCAACATCCAGACGTTTCCATTCCGACTCTCTGGTCTGGTAGTCGCTCTCAACGTCCGATTCCTTCGATCAACCACAATCAACGGTCGCTTGGCCCCCGGAGGACACTTGGTCAGCGTGATATGCACGCCAGGATGCAGACGGTTCACTGGCCCGGGTTCCCGCTAACATACCCGCCTCTCGGGCCGCTACAACCTCACTACGAAATTTCCCACCACTGATTGGTATGCAACTGCTCTGTATCATCCTTTGACTGCCTAATTTGCCCTTCGGAATCTGCTCAACTGCCACTTAGACTAGCCTCGGAAGTTCAGGTCCGCCGTGTCTACTGTCCAACAAAGAAGGCGACGAATCAGGCCCCACGCTGCTTACCCCAAGAAAAGGATGTCTCGCTGAGCGGCATCAACTTGCATGCCTGGTCTACGTGTCACCTGTTTTGTCATTGTACTTGCACGATGTGTCTGGCTCTTACCTGCTCATAGTCTGCAGCATGGTGGAGAAGCAGGCGTTGCTATCATACTCTTCGCGTTACTCTCGGAATTCGCCACAAGGAGCCGTCATGACGGATCTAGATTGAAATCACACATGAGCCTCCTTCCTGGCGACAGATCGAGACGGGCGCGTTAACTTCGGTTGATTGCCCCCCGCCGACCAATAACACTTACCTTGTAGATCTGAGACGACGTGCCTGCGAGCCGTGGCTAGGATAAGGCTTGTTTCCAATAGATCCGGTACTCCAGCGCTTTGTCTGGGTCCATGCGTCAAGAGAGACAATCGTTACCAGCGCTGCGCAAGTACTAAAGGATGACAATCTACTTCAACTGACTTCCTCTGAGTCTGCTGCATCTCGAGCTTGTCATCCTTCTCTCGCTTACGTCTTCTTTCAACCCATCTTTCGTTACCGGGTCGGTTGCAGTGGCAAGAAGCGCGGCAATTCGCTCTACTACTCCGCGTATTGGATGATTAATTCTGGTTGATCTGCAATGGCTACCATCAACATAGGAAACGCTAGCCCGACAGAAGATATCAGACAGTACGACATAAAGCACGCGGCTATCCACATCCAACCGGTGACTCTCGATACGCCAACATTGACACCTGCCGCAACACCAGAGGACGCTTCACCGGCAGAAGAAACAATGGCGGGCAAGAAGATATACTCGATGGAGCGACCGGACGACAGGGCAAGACAACTTGCGGCGAAGCTGACTTTAGAAGAACAGGTACGTTCCCCCTCACTCTGATGAAAGAGATCCTTGAGACTTTAGCGTTCTACATGGCCAAGCACAATGAGAATTCATGCAAGCTTCCTTCAAGGTCTTGTTTTGGGTGTCTTTCTAGGAGTCAAATCATTCGCCAGCAGCAACACTCCGATTTGGATTATGTCTGCGGCAGAAAGCCTAGCGAGATTGGCTTCCGAAGATTGACTTTCAGAATCAATGGCTTTTTCTATTCGCTTAAGACCCCACCTGACCTCGTTAATCTATTTCAAAAGCCGAAGCAGCCTCGGGATTGAGTCGAGCTGACCATTCCAGATCTCACTACTTGCAGGAGCGGACTTCTGGCGGACAGTAGCCATACCCGAGAAGGGCATACCGTCAATCAAGACATCTGACGGGCCCAATGGCGCTCGAGGAGAGTTCTTCACTAACGGCACACCTGTACGCACTCCGGCTTGGCACTGCTTGTTTCACGCTGACAAAGCTAGGCTGCTCTGTTTCCTTGCGGCATATCCATGGCTTCCACGTGGAACGTGGATATGATCGAGGAGATCGGCCGTCATCTGGGAGAAGAATCGAAGGCACGTGGCGCCCACGTATTGCTTGCACCCACGGTGTGCATGCACCGATCCCCTCTGGGTGGCCGCAACTTCGAGTCGTATTCTGAAGATCCTTTCCTTACCGGAAAGCTTGCTGCATCGTATGTTCGCGGTCTCCAGAGCAAGGGTGTCGCTGCTACGATTAAACATTTCCTTGGCAACGAGCAAGAAACTGAGCGACAGGCGTACGATGCCATCATTGCTGAGAGGCCTTTGCGTGAAATCTACCTGAAACCCTTCGAGATAGCTGTTCGAGACGCATCACCATGGGCGCTTATGAGTGCTTACAACATGATCAATGGTGTTCACGCTGACGAGTATGAACATTCGATCAAGGAAGTCCTTCGAGGAGAGTGGAAGTGGAATGGTGCGATTATTTCTGATTGGACAGGCACATATGCGACTGCACCTTCGATAAGAGCTGGTGTTGACATTGAGATGCCGGGACCATCAAAGTGGCGCAAAGTCGAGCAAGTTAAGGAGTGTTTAGAGAATGGCGAGCTAACTCGTGGTGATATTGAAGAATCGGCCGCCAGAGTTTTATATCTCGTGGATCGTGTCAAGGGGCTAAACAATATGACACCCGAAGAGCCAGAGCAGTCTATCGACAACGTTGAGACACGGAACCTTATTCTTCAAGCTGGTATTGAAGGACTGACGCTTCTGAAGAACGAGAACAATGTGCTTCCCATCAAGAATGCGAAGAAGATTGCGATGATTGGGCCGAATGTCAAGCGAGCTATCGCCAGTGGAGGGGGAAGTGCAGGCCTCAATCCCTACTACAACGTTACTCCTTGGCAAGGCCTTCAAAATCGATTCGACGGCGACATTACGTTTGCCCAAGGCTGCGACAGTTCCAAATGGCTACCGCTCGCCTCCCCGTACTGCCAATCCAATGGTGAAACCGGTGTGCAACTAGAGTACTACAAGGGCGACAGATTCAGCGGTGAGCCAGCGGTCATTCAGCACAAAGTCAGCACAGATCTGTGGCTGTGGGACTCTGCGCCAATGGAACTTCTTCCAGACTTCTCCTTCAAAGTCAAGACTACACTCACTCCCAAGTCGACCGGTAACCACAGTTTTAGCTTTGCTTCAGTTGGACCAGGGCGCATGTTCATCAATGGCGACATTTTCATTGACAACTGGGATTGGACTCAAGAAGGTGAGGCTATGTTCTCTGCTTCAGAGGATGTACTTAAGTCAATCCACCTGGAGGCAGGCAAGTCAGTGGAAATTCTGATTGAGAGCACCAACGAAGTACGGCCTGCATCGAAAGTCTCGGTCATCGGTCGTCGCCACGACTATGGCGGCTGCCGGATTGGCTACCAAGAGGAGGACAAGATAGATCGTTTGCAAGAAGCTGCCGACGCAGCGCGCGACGCAGATGTCGCTGTAGTTGTTGTGGGGCTCGACGCCGAGTGGGAATCAGAGGGTTACGACAGACAAACGATGGACCTTCCGAAGAACGGTTCGCAAGATCGCCTGATAGAAGCTGTTCTAGCTGCCAACCCACGCACCGTCGTCGTCAATCAATCCGGAACACCTATTACCATGCCATGGGTACAGAAGGCACCAGCCATTCTCCAGGCATGGTACCAAGGACAGGAAGCCGGAAATGCTCTTGCGGATGTACTACTGGGCAACAGTAGCCCTAGTGGGAAACTGCCAACGACTTTCCCTGTTCGGATCGAAGACAATCCTGCGTACCACAACTGGCCTGGCGAGAATTTAAAGACCGTCTATGGCGAGGGGATTTACGTGGGCTACAGGCATTACGAGCGTTCCAAGATCGCACCACTCTTTGCCTTTGGACACGGTCTTACATACACCACTTTCGAATACAAAACACCAAGAGCTAGCGATACTGTGCTTCAAGAGGACGGAGAGATCATTATCACAGTACCAGTCACAAACAGCGGCTCAGTAGCGGCGCATGAGATTGTTCAAGCATACGTAAAAGACGTCAAGTCGACACTCCCACGTCCCGAGAAAGAACTCCAGGCTTTCGGCAAGGTATTCTTGCAGCCTGGCGAAACGAAAGACGTAATCTTGACGCTCAACAAGTACTCCGTCGGATACTTCGACACAAGTCTCGGGCAGACAGGTGCTTGGATTGCAGAGGAAGGAGAGTTTGAAGTGTTGATTGGTGCCAGCAGTGCTGATATCAGGTAACATTGCCACTCGCTCGATAAATACAGATGGGAATTCACTAACACATGCTGCAGATCGAAACTAAACTTCGAGGTTAAGGAGAGCTTTCAGTGGATCTTTTGATGCAATTGTGGCGTAGTGTTGGAGAATATCTGTCAACGAATACCACGAGTCTTCTTATGTTGGTTGTTCTGAGGCGTCTCTGGTAGGAATGGATGATCGTCATTAAACTGAGTTCAGCGAGTGAAGTCTCGTGCAATGAATACACATATTGGCATGCTTTGAACCGAATTCATAGGTAAAGATTGTGAATCCATCAGTCTGAAAATATGCGACAAGCCAAAGACGTCAAGCTGGGCGACTTCGGCAGACGGCACCTTTTTTGACAAGGCTGACGGCCGAGTGGCTCGGCAATATGACGCGCTGAGTTTCTGAATTTCTGCCACCGCCTTGCGGGCCGACGATAATCCACACGGTCCCTGAACAAGGCCTTGGTTGATCAGAACGCATCATCTCCAGACTGTCCCTAGGCTATTGCGCTTTTTGAGGCAATCGAGACTGTCGCGTACATCTCCAGCTCCGTGTAATCCTCTTTCGGCGTTCGGCTCACGCGACTTCGGCAACCGTATCAGCTACAGCCGCGCTTTTGCTCCTGATCAACAGCGGGCGACCAACTTCTGGAATCGAACCACACCACATCTATCAAGCTTCGCACATTACAACAAGCCGTCCATGAGCTCCAGCAGCCTTTGATCCGTTCAAAACACGACAACGCGACCCCCGAATCGGTCACGTAAGCTCCCTTATCGCCGGCGAGCCTGGTAAAGCCGAGGACATGAATCCAGCGCATCGTGACGGGTGGCCGCCGTCGCAGGCGTCTGCAGGTGGACAGGGTCAGCAGCAAACAGAGCAGGGCCAAGGACAGGCGTCGCGGCCTTTGGGTCCCTATGGGTGCGTACTCGCCTCCCGCTCCCTCCTCCGTAACAGACACGATGGGCGAAGATGCTTCTGAGCTCCTCTTCGCACCACTATTTGATTGCATTCAAGCTGACTTTGCGAGTGATGACAGGCCAAACAACGCGACTCCACAGGGTCCTCCACATGCGTCACCCTCACAGGGTCCGGGACCAGTACTCCCACCACCATCTGGTATGTCGCACAGGCAAACGACGCGCCAGTTCGCATTGCTAACTCCATCACAGGTGGCGGGTATTACTCGTCAAACGCCGCGACGGCCCACAACCAGAATCTCCCCACACTTCCAGGGCTGACGGCGCAACCTCAGCACTCATCACCTCACATGTCCGCCCAACGACCGCCATCTTCAGACGCGGGAGCGCAGGCTCAACAAGGCCCCCAAGCCCCTCCATACTCGTTACCGGGCATATCGCAAACTCTCCAGCAGCAGCAACAACACTTGCCGACTTCGGAGCAGGCCAGCGCTGACAGAGAGCGCGAGATGCGCGAACGCGAGACCAGAGACAGAGAGATGGATTCGCACGCACTGCACCAGCAAGAAGAGATTGTCAAGCGCGAGACGGAACAGCGGGATCGAGAGATCCATGAGCGACAGCAGCGCGAGCACGCTGCGCATCAAAACCACTCAGCGCCAATCCAAATACACCAGCCTGTGGCAGTGGCACCTTCGACGCGAACGATACACGGTCCGAACGGTCTGTTGGGTCAATCGGGACCAATGAATGGACCCCTCGCGCCACCCATGGGTGGTCCCAATCCGAGTGGCCCTATGTATGGGAATGCGCCCGCGCAACATGAGCAGACTACACCACGCATGCAGCACGCGGTGCAGGCACCTATCCAGGCTCAGATGTTGATGCCTTTCGCCGGCCCTCCTGGATCTATGGCCATGGGCCAGGGACAGCAGCCGATCCTCAACGATGCCTTGAGCTATCTGGACCAGGTCAAGGTTCAGTTCGCGGACCACCCCGATGTATACAACCGATTCCTTGATATCATGAAAGACTTCAAGAGTGGTGCGATCGACACTCCGGGGGTCATTGAGAGGGTATCAACTCTTTTCGCGGGCAATCCGGCCTTGATCCAAGGCTTCAACACGTTTCTGCCACCCGGCTACAAGATTGAGTGTGGCACTAACGGCGACCCAAATGCCATTAGAGTGACGACGCCAATGGGTACCATGGTATCGACTATGCCTGCTCCAAGGCCGCTTTCGCCGCCACGCAGCAGCGCCGTCAACGGTAGCAACGGTCCCCAACACGAAGGTACTTACTACGAGACTGCTCAGGGACGCCCTTGGCCCCAGCAACAGAGAGCTCAGGGACCTGAAGGACAGGAATCGATGTTTTCACCAAACAACCGCACTCTCGGACAGCCTCTGTATGGGCCACAACAGGGGCAGCAGGGCCCAGCACCGCATTCGCCAGAGGTTACCTCACGTCCTCATCCTGACCCTGCTGGATCAGCCGCTGCGCTGGCCCACCAGCAAGAGCAGAGAGGAGTTTCTCAATTACAGAACGCAGTATCAGCTGCGACTGGTCGCTCAATGATGTCACCGAGTGTTGATCCAAGTACCTCATTGCAAGGACAAGCCATGAATGGTGCTGCTCAGCTCCCACAGATGGGTGGGGCGGCAGCTGAGAAGAGAGGGCCTGTTGAGTTCAACCATGCAATCAGCTATGTGAACAAAATCAAGGTAAATACGCTCTGTGGACCTAGACCTTGATGTACTAACAGTCACCTAGAATCGATTCGCAGCTCACCCTGACATCTACAAAAACTTTTTGGAGATACTACAGACCTACCAGCGAGAATCGAAACCCATCCAGGACGTGTACGCCCAAGTGACCCACCTGTTCGGCGGCGCGCCCGATCTGCTTGAGGACTTCAAGCAATTCCTTCCGGAATCGGCTGCTCAGCACAGGGCGCAACAGCAGGCTGCTAAGAATGCTGCCGAAGACGCAGTCATGCTCAGCAATGTACGAGGCGAATCAGGTTATGGCGCGGCCGCGAACCAACAAACTCCTGGTCGTGCGGATACATCTCGCCTGCCACCGATGGGTAACTTTGCGCCTACACCTACCGCGAACCGCGACAACAAGAGGAAGCGCGACCGACAGGGACCTGTGGCTGCGCCCATGCCCCCATCCATGCCACAGGAACTACCGACCTCGAACGTTCGCGGCGGTTACAACAACCAGGGAAGCGTCAACAAGGTATGTGAAAGATCTTCCACTATTACGGGCAGGGCTAGGTCATGGCATTGTTTTTCTCTATGCGGCACGTGCATTGCCCATAAACTCTACCTTTTCCTTCCATTTCCATGGTTATACCTTATTTCCATTCCAACGCTACCACATCACAAACATTGTCATCAAGACCACCATCACTATGCTTAATGGTGGGGCAAAATTTTACGCTCATCTCAAACTGAGTTGAAATTTGGCTTTGTTCGGATTAAGTAGAAGACAACATAATGGGATCATCAGCTAACATATCAAAGCGCGCGAAAACCGGACATGGCGCAAAGCAGGCAATTCCCGATGGTCCACCAGTGTCACCTACTCTGACACCTGCGCTGCCTGAGCCGATGCCACCGACGACTACTACGTCACCCAACCAAGATGAGCTTGCATTCTTTGATCGCGTCAAGAAATTTATCGGAAACAAGAACACGATGAATGAGTTCTTGAAGCTTTGCAATCTTTACTCGCAAGATCTGATCGACAAGCAATTGTTGATTTACCGCGCGGCATCATTCATCGGAGGAAACCAGGAATTGTATGCCTGGTTCAAGAAGTTCATGGGCGAAGATGAAGAGCAACAGAAGACCCGTCCAAAGACTGTAAACTCTCGTGTCTCGCTATCGAACTGTCGCAGCCTCGGTCCCAGCTATCGTCTGCTCCCTAGGCGCGAGCGCGAGCGTGTATGTAGCGGGCGCGACGAACTGTGCCGATCGGTCCTAAACGACGAGTGGGCGTCCCATCCGACATGGGCTTCCGAAGATTCTGGTTTCGTCGCCCATCGCAAGAACACGTTTGAAGAGGGCTTGCACCGAATCGAAGAGGAGCGCCATGACTACGACTTCAATATCGAGGCATGCAGCCGCACGATTCAACAGCTTGAACCAATCGCCAATCAGCTTCTTACGATGAAGCCGGAGGATAGGAATGGATTCACGCTACCGCCTGGACTTGGTGGACAGAGCGAAACAATCTACAAGCGGGTTATCATGAAGATCTACGGCCGCGACAGAGGAAAGGACGTGATTAAGGAGCTCTTCGCTATGCCCTGGAGCGTTGTTCCTGTACTTCTTCACAGGCTGAAGACTAAGCTTGAGGATTGGAAGGCCGCTCAGCGCGAGTGGGAGAAGGTCTGGCGCGATCAGACGCAGAAGATTTTCTGGAAATCCCTGGACCATCAGAGCATTACAGTCAAGCAGGCCGACAAGCGACAGTTCCAGCCCAAGTCACTCACAAACGAGATCCAAGTCCGGTACGAAGAACAGAAGCGACTTCAGCAGATTCAAGAGATATCACAGCCGGACTACCAATTTGCCTTCTCTTTCAGAGACGAAGAGGTACTCTTCGACGTAGCTCGATTGATGCTCACTTTCGCCGACAACAACAACAGTGCCGACTTTGCAAAGGTTGTGCCGTTTATCAAAGAGTTCGTTCCTCTATTCTTTGGCATAGATACCGCCAAATTCGAGCAACGGGTACAGACGTCAGGACGCGATACACCAAACGATTCTGGCGAGGACACACCTTCTCCCGACGACGATCTCTCTCAGCGCTCGCAGAAAGGAAAGAAAGGCGACCTCCGCCGCACCATTCTCGACCCTAACAACAAGCCACGCAAGGACAAGGAAGACAGCGTTGCGTCGGCGAGTCGGGACAGTACTCCAGACACATCCGGCATGGACGATGAGGCTGCTGGCGACAGCTCGAACTCCAACCCTCGTGCAGATCAACCAAAACGTGAATGGATAGAATATGTTACTACCCCCACGGCTTTTGGCGATAAGGAGTTCGAACACGAAGAACCCTACCAACGCGTAGAGTTCAACATGTACTCGAATGCTTCCATTTACTGCTTCTTCCGCATGTTCGTCATGCTCTACGAAAGGCTGTTGAAGCTCAAAGAGAGTGAAGAGGAGGTCCGAAAAGTCATCAATCGGGCCAAAGAGCCCAAAGCAGCGCAGAAGTTGAAGATGCTTGACAAGCAGCCTGAAGACTTCTTCAAGGACACATCATCATCAGCGAACTACTATCAACAGCTGCTCGACATGTTCACAGAACAGATATCTGGCGAAGTGGACATGAACTTCATCGAGGAGACCCTACGCAGGTATTATCTTCAGATTGGATGGCAGCTATACTCGTTCGACAGGCTGCTCAGCTCGCTTGTCCGGTTCGCGCTCGCTGTAGTGAGTCACGATAACAAGGATAAGAGCCTTGATATCTACAACCTCTTCAGGAAGGATCGCGTCAACGATACTACAACTCACAAGAACGAGATTAGCTATAGAAAGGCTGTCGAGAAGTTTGCCAAGGATGCTGACACCTACCGTATCACATATGTAAGTCAACGCCTCGCCCATATCAACGACTACATATTAACACGTCTCCAGAACCCCACCAAGATGGAAGCACACGTACGCCTCTTCAAGAAGGATGACCCAACCTTTGAGTTCAACACGCTTGACCGAGTGAAGCGCTGGCGAGCATACGTCGCCTCCTACATGGCTGTGGAACCCACTGAGGAAGTCGACCTGTCTCGCGTACACTACCCTTACCTTAAGAAGCGCCTGGCCAGAACCGAGGACCTCTCAGAGGAAGAACGATTTGATCACGTCAAGCACAGCGACAAGATCACTGTCTCCATCAGCCCCTCTGCTTACATCATGACCTTCATCAACAGCGAACCCTTCGGCACTGGTGGCGTTCAGTACTTTGTGCAGCCAGACGCCGTACGCGCGGGCCTGAGTGAGGCTGTACCGAAGCCGACTGAAGAGTACAAGAAGCTCAACGATGAACGCAGGGAGAGGGTCCAGGAGATTCTTGTCAGGAATAACAGCTGGATGAAGGATCTAAGCCGCGACGATGTAGATGCTAAGAAGGCCGCTTTCAAGAAGGACCTCGAGGAGCCTAGGAAGGTGGCTGATAATGAGGATGTGGACATGGATGGCGCAGACGGTTTCGATTAACTTCCTCGTCACTTGGTTTGCGAAGAGAAGGTTGGGTGGTGACGCCCATCGTTGTATCTTTGGCGTTGTGTGGACTTTGATGTCACAGTGCGACGAAGGGTTGGTGTCTACGATTTCTTGCGTTTTGATATCAACATGTTCGCGTTGCGCGTCCAGAGGAGTGCAGCAAACGGCGTGCCTTGCACAGCACGACATGGTTTTCTTCCGAGACGGCGCTGACGGCGTTTTCAAGGATGATAACCCGACTCGACTCTTCATCTATATCCACTGTGTTTTTAGGATTGAATGTCATTTTCGTCTTCTCGTATCTTGCTGCGTCTTCTACATTACAATCTTCCCTTGGCAGCTCCACGTTCATGCAGTCACTTGACATTCTTCTCCAACCACTCCTCCCACTGATCCGCAGTCCACGAACTACTAATCTCGTTGTTCACAACACCGTCGAATACGACCGTGGGGGTTACATGCACACCGGTCAGTCGATTCGCCTTGACCTGCACCTTGACATCATCCGTGACCCCGTTGCCCGAGTTCAAACTTCCGTCCTCACCGGGCTTATCACTAATCTCCAACAATCCGTAAACCTTGCCCTCATCGACACCCACGGATCCAGCAATCTTAGCAAGCCTCTTATATGTAGCATTCCTCGTTTCATTCACCAGACTGACATCGAAGAAGTCCTTTTGCTGGTCGAACAGCTTCTCGGAGAAATCCCAGAATTTGGACGAGTCAATCTTTTGGACGGCATAGCCGGCTTCATGGACGAGTGTAGAGGAGGGGTGCCAGGGTTGGATTTGCTGCCGGAAGATAGTCACGGCGCGGTCGGAGTACTTCTCTAAGAGTGTTTTACGGAGCGAAGTACCGTAGATTGTTTTGAACATCTTGGCGGAGAAGGGACAGACATAGTCAAGGTCTAGATGTAGATGTTAGTTTGCTTGGTGTGCTTTACAGGAATTGGGAAATGCGGATCATGTGCTTAGGGAAAGACAAGAGGGTCGAAGACGTACAGAGCTCGAGAGTATGAACGGCTTTTGGCTGGATGGCATTGGAAGCGAGCTTCTGGCCGGCGAACTTGGGTGCAAGGGCCATGGCTGTTGTTGCTGTGGCTCTAGGACAGGCGGGTTTGAGAGTTTCAATGTGTCTATTGCCTGAAGTTGGGACCGCAGAACTTATGTAGGTGCACAGACTACGAGTCAAAAGCAATGCTTATATTGTGAGTTAAAGATGGGGTGAGAGCACGCAATGGCGAAATGTATGCATGGTCTCGATGCTTCGTGTATGACGAAAGCGGGGCCGGATCTGGCATGTGAAGACATGGGGTCCATGACACCCGTCTCGAGGGACGCCGGCCCGCTCATACAGTATTGTACCGATACAATTTCAGATTGTACCTGTGCGTTCTCATAACCAATTACCACAGCGTTTGTATGGTACAAAGTGTAGGATATGCGAGGGATGAACTATGGTCAAGGATAGCTCGCCCCTCCCCCACCGCCAACTCCGCTCACTCCCGAGCTTCAAGCTCCATGCAGCACCTCGTCATAAGCAGCCTATAGTGGGCGCTCCAACCTAGGCATCCACTGTCTCTACTCACACATCTTGTTAGTAACCGTCTGCTTCCCAGCAATGTCCGATCCGAGCTCGACAGACGATGACCTCCTCGCCCGCCTCAACGCGCTCAAGAAGTCCTCTGTCAGCCTAGACACAAATTACGGCGCGTCAACAACGCCTACGAACCCCCCTAAACCTACTGATGACCTCGCTGCCCGCTTCGCACGTCTTGGCAGCGCGTCTCCCTCGGGCTCGCCACAGCCGTCACGTACAACGTCCACCAACAACGCAGGCGCACCAGTCGTAGCGCCAGGGGCACCGAGCTACCTGCAAGGAATAGCCCAGGGTATAGGAGACTCGAATGTAGAGTTTAATGAGGAAGACGAAAAGAGTCTGGAGGAGTTGCTTGGCGAGCTGAAGGGCGCCGTAGGTGACCGAAAAGAATGGGACGTGTCCAAAGAGGAGCAACAAGATGTCGGAAAGCTACTGGAAGACATGCGCAAGATACTACCAGAAGTAGTGAATAGCCGGGCACAAGATTCGCCGGGCGGAAATGGGAAACGCAACCAACCATCGAAGGAGGAACTTACAGACTGGGAGAGCATCGAAATCAATGTTGGAAGTGGAGAGGTTGGTAGGGCTCATGAAGACATGGAAAACGAAGAAGAAGAAGAAGGCAACGAAGACAAGAAAACGAGGACCGAGGACGATGAGGCGGACGATGTAATAGCGAGGGTTATGGCGGAACTAGAGATTAGCAACAAGTACGATCCTCCTTCTCCTCCGTCTGGAGATGACAGGTCGGACTCCGGAGGCCAAAAAAGCAAACCAGAAGAGAACACAACGGACGACGGCTTTACACTTCCTTCCGCCCCGAGCACCCTGCCCGAAGACGACTTCGCACGCAGTCAAGCCATCGAGGATGCTTTTACCGCACGCCTGGCCGCCCTAGCTGCCCCTTCTTCATCACAGGCGGATCCTCTTGGTCTCCCCTCTGCTCCATCATTTGCACCCAGGAACAAACCCCCCGTGTCTGCGAATATACAGAAGAAGATTGATGATGAGGTTGATACATGGTGTATCATCTGCCAGGACGACGCGACTCTGAAGTGCCTGGGTTGTGACGACGATTTATATTGCCAGAACTGTTGGATGGAAGGCCATCGAGGGGAGTCTGCTGGCTTCGAGGAGAAGCGACATAAAGCCGTGTTGTATTCGAAGAAGAAGAAACAACAAGCTGCTGCGTGAAAGATCAAAGATGAATCTGTAAAAAAGCTTGCATAAGAGACTGAACATCCGAAGGCAGGAGTCTCCAAGGCGCACAATATACGCCTGGCCTACAATGAGGGGAGCAACTGCCGCTAGGCTTAATCGGTTGCCTCCTCTGCCATGGAAAGGAAAGTGTATATCGGGGCTTATCCTGTAAGCCACCACAGTATAAAGGAGCACAAGAACCATCTCGTCCTCCTTGCATCGCGTCGCTGGATACAACAGGAGACTACCTTGTTGCCACATCAAACGCTCACCGTTAGGTTCGCCTGATGGGAATTTTGCGCCTTCTGTCTTGCTCTAAATTCTACAAGATGCCAGACTACTCCAAGATTTGTGTAGACGAAGCTGAGATGGACCAGGCTATCGTCCTTGTGCGAAATTTTGAAGGGTGTGGTTATGTCTCGCTCTCGATGCTCCTGCTTCATATGCGACATGTACACGTAGAGGCATGAAGGTCTCGTTTTGGCACAGCTGATCTAGACTGTGAAGATGGTCATGATGTATTGTCTCGTTGTTGGAGTATGGCACAAGTAGGATGGCTGTGGAAGGATCTCAAGAGCCACGTGGACTTCAAGATACAGTGATTTTCATCTAGCTTTGTGAGAAGACAAGTGGGAGTCGGTCATAATGGGCTTCTAGCATAAGAGGTAAGTACATACTGTATGTCCGTAGGCGACGCCAGAGTATACTCACGATTTGTGGAACCGCTCATACACCGCCTCGCACATACCCTGTGATGTGAAGTTAGAAGATCTAGAACGTGGTGATCTTCTCTCACCTAACCTTTCTTATTTGCTATCTCACCTTTACGGTCAAAAGCGCTGGTCACCGTTTATGTTCATGTCAAAATCAATCCACTGGCTGCATCTTTAAACACTACCATTATCGTCGCTGCAAGACGCTTACTACAGCTATACCTACGACTACTCTCCATATATCTCGAGACTACAACCTGAAGTCGGAATGGCGGAACACCCCAGGCGTATCTCCGAGATGTACTAAACTCCCCACGATTGCCCATTTTCTGGCTGACCACGTCTCCTAGTACTCCACGCAACTCAGATATATCACCGCTTCTACATCTCCCTGGAGAAATCAGGAATGAGATCTATCAATACGTTCTTAACGAAGGCGTCTACGACTTCATGGATGGTATTGTTTCGCCCACTTACGAATGTGACGAGCGATTTGCTCTCCTCCGAGTCTGCCGCGAGATTTACAACGAAACAAGGCTACTTCCATTCTCTCTTAACACATTCCACTTCGGCAGTTTCAAAGTCTTCCACAAGTTCATCATTAAATTTACTACGACAAAGCAACGTCAAGCCATTCGTGCACTAGACCTAGAAATCTGGACTCAATGCTGCATCGACCACATTGAAGACTTTGATATCCGTCAGATGTACTCGTTATCCGACGTACTTCCGGGACTGCAATCTGTCGATGTACTTAGATACAGTGTGAACTGTTACCCTAAGGCCACGCGTGGTGAACGACAGAAAATTGACCAGTGGCTGCGATGCGGTCTGGACGAGCGCGTGGACATGAATATCTCATAGGAAGATAGATGATCGGGCCTTGTGTGGGAGGTTCATGACTGGTTGTGAGCAAAGTCGGACCAACGAGGAGTTAAATGGATGTACTTGTTCATGGTTGCGCCATCGTGGGTTCTGCTACTCAACGGGGAGAAAAGACGGTCTATGTACAGTAGGTATCTATTTCTCATTATCTGTGTTCCAGCCGAGACTTTTCACATTTCAAGAGTCGTCTCTGCATCATAATGCAAAAGTTTTGTATAGACATCGCTGAAAATTTACATTGAGAGCAGGTGTTCTCACTGATATCGACCGCTACCTATGTATATGGTAAAGTCGAGTTCTGAAGCAAAGTCATATCCATGGTATGCGACATACACTTCCGTCCTCTATTTTACAGCATGTCGAACTACACCCTCAGCGACCCATTTGCCCTCAAACTTCTCCTCGAGTACCCTCAATTTGCTGAAGAAGACATCGTCATCAACATACGCGCCCTTGAGCCACCGCTCACCCTTTGAAGCATCGAAAGCCTTCCTAGCATGCAACACCCTCCTGTTATCGAAGATAACACATTCACCCTCATTCAACCTGTACTCGTACAGATTCTCTTCAGCACTGAGTAGTTTCTCGTATGCATGCGAAGCAGCAATGAATGAGCGAAGCGATGTAGAATTGCCGCTGCCGATACGTGCCTCGAATGGGGCCTGGAAAGGTGGAGACCAATTTATACGGCGAATGGCGAGATTGGTGGGATCACTGTAGTTGGGGTAGGAGAATGTCTCAATCACCGGTCGTGTGAAGTGGTAGTGGTACGTTGGGTGGTGGTAATGGTATGTCACGGGGAAGGTACATAGGGTTCTGAAGTGGCCTTCGGACTGTTGGCGCAGTTGGTGTGCTGCGGCGAAAGAGTCGGAGAAGAAGGATTCACCGCCTGGTGTGCGGGCTCGGAGGAAGTGCAGGAATTGCAGGTGAGGCGGGTTGGATGTATAGAGGAGATCCATGTGGAGACCGAGGTAATCGGGAGTGTAAGCTATGTTCTCGGCTTTGGGCTTTGAGCGAACGTCCCATGTACGGCCATAGAATGTGTCTTTGAGTGTACCGACACGGGAGGCAAGTGAGACTACGGATTCCTCGGATTCTGGCACGTTTTTAATGAAGAGAAGACCGTATCTGTTGAGGTGAGTGAGTGCTTCGAAGAGTGTTTCGTCTTGGGACATGTAGCTGTCATAGTCAATCCATTTGTTGTCTTTTACGATCCTTTTGTTGTCCCAGAACACTCTGTCATCGTGTCGTACTCCACCACGCAACTCGATTTCAGTGTTGAACGCACGCCGTAGCCAGTCGATAGAGTGCCGTGTGCGATGCTCCGGACCAAAGCCTTTGACATCTGTCTTCCACGAGAGCTCGATACATGTCCCCTTGTCCTCGTCAACGACTGTCTTGCAGCTGCCCTCGAGATGTTCAGGAATATCTGAGGTCTGGAAGCGCTTGTTCTTGCTGTCAGGGTCCATGCATTGTGTACATGTGCAGCTGTCACGGAGAAATACAGCGTCGAAGACCTTGGAATCTCCATCGATATTCACAGCGATCTTCTTTGCTGGGCCACCGTCGAGTTGACCGATGCTCGGGTCATTCTGAATGAGAGATTCTTGCTCTTTTGACAGTCTCGAGTCTTGTTCTTGCTGTAGCTGTTCCTGGCGTTTGGTTGGCCGGAAGGGACCATGAGTAGCGGGGCTCCAATCAGCATGCTCGGCCGGCTTAGGTGATCGCCAAAAGGAATTGAAGAAGAAGCGCCGTCTCTGAGCAGCGAATGTAGTCGTGCGAGAGGAAGCCGTAACCTGCAATCTCAGACTTCGTAGCGGTAACTTGGTGGTAACGGTCGAAGACATGGTCGGACGCAGCTGTTTTCAGTGACGAAGTTGGGCGGGGTGGCTTGCTTTTCAGAATCAGGGAGCTTGGTGGAAACAGTCAACCCGTAAACCGAGGTCTCTACCCACCCTTTGCCCGGCACGTTTGCAATTAAAGGCGTCGTACCGATAATCGGCAGTTGGCATCTAATAACGCGCGCGAAAATAGCACGTGTATCGCTTGACGCGCTGGGCGCATGTCTGAGGGTGTCGCACAGCTGAAGCATGAGGTAGGAGCTTGTCTATCTTCACTGTTTCGCGACGTGGCAGGCAGGCAGGCGCAGGCTGACGTAGTTGATAGGGCTCCCAGCGACAGGTTGTCGTCGCAGGTGCGGTTGCCGGCCTGGTATCGCGGTATGTTGGCCCCCTCTTGTTCATGTATAGTGCTGACATAGCCACAGCTTCGTGATAGCTCCTCTCGACGTCATAAAGATCCGCCTGCAACTCCAGATCCACTCCCTCTCCGACCCTCTCAGCGTTCGACATGTCCAGGGACCCGTCTACAAAGGAACAATAGGCACCCTCAAGCAGATCCTCCATGAGGAGGGTGTCACAGGACTATGGAAGGGCAACATACCTGCGGAGTTGATGTACTTGACGTACGGCAGCGCCCAGTTCTCTGCCTATACGTACGTGTCGCACTGGCTGGAGACTATACCTGCACCATATACGCTTCCTAGTTCTGTCACAAACTTCCTCAGTGGTGCGAGTGCGGGTGCTGCTGCTACAACAGCCACCTACCCGCTCGATCTTCTGCGCACGCGCTTTGCTGCCCAAGGAAAAGATCGCGTCTATACCTCCATCATAGCGTCGGTGAAGCACATCGCACAGCATGAAGGACCTAGGGGTTTCTTTCGCGGCCTCGGCGCAGGCGTGAGCCAGATTGTGCCCTACATGGGCCTCTTCTTCGCCAGCTACGAGAGCTTGAAGCCCGTTACCGCCTCCTCTCCCATACCCTTACCACTCGGAAGCTCGGATGCCGTCGCCGGTGTTATCGCGAGCGTTCTTTCCAAAACCGCCGTCTACCCGCTCGACACTACACGCAAGCGACTACAAGTTCAAGGGCCCATGCGCGACCGATACGTTCATCGGAACATACCAACTTATAGCGGTGTCATCAGCACTATAGCGCATATATGGAAGCACGAAGGTAGACGAGGCATGTACCGCGGCTTGACGGTCAGTCTACTGAAGGCTGCGCCAGCCAGCGCCGTTACTATGTGGACATACGAGCGGGCCATGGGGCTCATGTTGGCTTTTGATGAACAGCACAAAGATGATTGAATAGCCTTTTGGCAACTTTAGCATGTATAGACCGGCGTCAAGATACCAAATTCGGCTTCATTGTAGACTGCATTTCCGAATCAAAATTACATTACAACTCGTTCCTTGTGAAAGCATTATGATAGGTTCCCAAACTCACCCTCCCTGCCTCTCCACACGACCTTCACCATAGGTTGTGCTAGGGAGTCTTCGACCCCTTTCTTCGTCATCTCTTCGCTCCACCCTCTGCGTCGCAGCGTCTGCTGTAGAACGAACGCCATATCTACATTGTTTATAGCTACTTCCAGTGTCTCACCCTGAAAGCCTGGTATCACAAAATCCAAGTTTAGCTGTGGAGCCTCGCGTGCAGCAAGGTAGAATGGCGTTGGAAATGGGCCTGGCGGTTGTGGACGCTTGTCCGACTGCGGGCGAGCGAGAAGGACGTGTCTTGCGACGGGTGATTCGCGAAGAGGTGGTGGTGGATGTGGCCGTAAGACAGTGGAACTGGCATGTTTTACGTCAAAGTTAGGGTATTCCTTGCTGAAGTCCTTCTCAAACTTGGAGATTTCATTCTGCGTTTGGACATTGTGATTGTTGAGCAGCCAATTTGTGTGCCCTAATTCTTCAATCTTCTTCTCATTCTCGCGGGCGAGAGCCTCTAGTGCTGCGAGGCGTGAGTTGGTTGACATTTTGTTTGTGCGTGTGTCAGTAAGACCTTGTTAGGCTACGGAGTAGGTTATTTTATAGAAAGAGAGCTGAGTTGTTACCATAGTAATACTCAATATGCACTAAGATCTTGATTTGTGACGGTGTATATTGTGAAGGAACCTTAGTAATTGAAGAGATCAGAAGGGATTTTCACTATATGAATTGGGTGCTGTATTAGTATCTAGATCTCGAGTGATTTCCGGACTTCATCAGGATTCATCACCTACGCTTAGGGATACATATTAGAAAGAGCCATTTGCAGCGTAGAATTGAACTCCACAAAGTGCTGCATAGCCATTCTCTTTGTACATCATACATATACCATGTACTACAGTGTTATAATAAGACGAAGCGACTATCTAATTCTCTTTCACCTTGGATTGATTCACCCATCAGCATTGAGTCGGCATTGCATCAAAATAGCGAAACGCTCTCGAACATTATGACGAATCAAGGATGATTACGCAGAGATTGCGGAGCATCAGGTTAGTATGATGGATAGTATCGCAAGTGTCACATCGAGTACCAGATGTAAAATACTAAAGTGCCTGAAGCTAAATCAATCGAATTACTTCTATATCTGATACTCTACTGTCTATTGTAACGAACGTGAAAACTTATGCAACATGCCAAAACTCAACTTCATCCCACGCTATGCTCCGTTACTGAAACGCTCAAGCCAAGAAAACAAGCAAACGAGTGACTCAAGGAGAACCCTCTCTAACAATTACAACCTCGACAACCCCTCAATCTCAGCGCGTCCATGCCTCTAGCGTCGGATCAATATCTCGACCTCTAGTAAGCCTTCTCACAATGGAAAGTGAAACCGCTCAGCCAAGTCTCGATCGGCTTCGTAACGTCGCCATCCAGATCGACAAAGTTTTTTGCACGACCGTCGATGTCAAAAATCCAGCCAGGGATGTTAAGGTTGACAAGCTGGCACTTGGTCGTGTCTTGGAACTTGGTGAGTTGGGCTGATGTACCGACGATATTACCGGCACCCTTGTCGACAGCCTTGCCGGCGAAAAGAGAAGATATGTAATAAGGGGTGCCGTCGGCGGGTATGGTGGCTTCTGCATTGGCGCCGCTTTGGTCGTTGTAGATCCGGAGGGTGATTTGAGGAATGGGAGAGGGGATCGCAGTCACCGCCGTGGTAAAGGCGAGAAGGGTGGCGGCGAGGGTAGTGGTGAGCTGCATTTTGATAGATTTGTTGACGGATTGATGATATTGCAGTGTCTTGTTGAAGAACGTTGGTGTTTGTAGAGAAGTCTGGATTGTGGTGTAGAGTGATGATGCTGTTGGTGAAGGGCTACTAGAAAGAGATGATGTCCTGCTTTATACCCTACATAAGTTGTCTCCAGACTCTCTGTTTTCCCAAATAGGAGCCGGTCGTGACACCGTCCGCTGAGCTATTCGTATACATCGTCAGCGAGTAGCCCGCTCGACGACCGCCTTTTCTCAGCTACATCACAAAGTGACCACCAAATTGGCTTGGGACCTCATATTTCCGCGCACAAAACATCATGTGAGGTTCGATGGGCATCTGTCTTAGTCAAGGTTGGCGTGTGGCACAGTCTTAGGGTAGGACTGCTATGGTCACAGTGGAGATTATTCAGAGCGCCTATTGGGTTTATTTGGTGGAATATACGCATGGAAGTTTCTTACAAAAGATTAAAACTCTTGGAAATATCGATGGCGGAAAATTGATGTGAGAAACGAAATGGCGGTGATCGAAGGCAGAGCTGAAGGTAGCTGAATGTGAACTCAGCCTCTGTGGGGCTCGCATCGTCAGCAAACAAGACCAACGCGCCTCTCTTGGAATGAATCACGAGGTGGCCTGATCAAAAAAAAAAGAGCTTGACGTCTTTCCCCACGACCGACGTAGCTATCTGATTCACAACCTGTTTAGTTCTCTTTAAGGTCTGTGGGTCGCATGCTCGTGATACTGGAGTATCTTCAATGCAACCAGAATTCGCTTATGAAATATGCAAAGTACGGTAACAACAGACTGTTATTATGCAGACTGTAATATATGCAAAGTCAAAATGCATGGATAGCAAAGTCGGCACGCGTGAGGCGCCAGCTGTGCCAGGAATAAACAGAAAGCTACTCCATTGCCCTCTTTTCTCGAATTTCTTACCGTTGGTCTCGAGGTCGATATTGTGAGAACCAAAGACGATAGGTACATATGGCGCTGGCGCATATGTGTCGTTGCGCGGGAAAACCAGGTCTACTTCATAACGCCCGAGGAGTCGCTGACGGCCGCATCTATAGCTCATGTACAGGTCACAAACAATCGGCAAATCCAAAAGACAATGTACATGTAGGAGCGTGCTATGACCGGAAGATCGCGAAGAAGAGGGTGCTGTGGAGGTAATGGCGGAGTGAGGTTGGATAAATCGAAAAATTCGGGGAGTCACAACGCGACTGAAGAAACTGGTTTGGCGGAGCGGACTCTGTGTTGGAAGGGCTTGTGGCTGGACGGACAGTGCGGAGGATGCTCAACGTGAACTAAAAGAAACAGACGGGCAAGATAGGTAGTCTGAACTATGGTCGATGTCGCCGCCAAGGGGCAAGAGCCTGTAGGCAGGATCGAAAAGGGTAAGCTATGTAGCAGGGGTTGATGCCGTTTCAGCCGCGTGGTGGAGAGCGAGGATCGCGGGCGGGTAGGTGGGCAGTTTGAGCGCTTTATGATATTGGAATTAGCTTGTCAAGGGCACGTAACCGCGCATCTCCCTTGAGTAGCACTCTTGTCATCGATTGGACAAGAGGACCCGAGTATTCGAGTCGCCTCACAATGAAGGGAAGTCATAAGATGGGGGAAAGCTTGGAGCAGCGGCTGAATCGATCTTGAGCTCGGAAGGAGTCGGAGATAGCGTTATGGACGCCATAGGCGCACAAGTTCATCTTCCATGATCCTCTCGAGTAATATGATCATGAAGTGGGCCGTCAATACTGATAGCAACCACGTTCATCTTCCGTGCAATTCCGATCAATGTAGGAGTGACAGGATCCACTTGTTGTGCAGAGTTCTTGACAGTGAAGGATGTGGCATGCGTCGTCGCATTGGGGTGATGCCGCTTTCGACGAATCGAGGGAGTTTTTGAAGTAGATGTCCCAGCCCACCTAGTATTGAAGCTAAACCTTACCCTCATCGACGAGGTTCTAGAAAGTCCTGAGTTTCTGACAAGGGCCGTTGCCGGAAAAGTTCCCACATCACAGAATCTATGCGTCCAAGGTGGTGAGGTTGACATCCAGCGAAGAGTGCATATATAGAGTTAGCTCAAAATTCGTGGTAGCGATAATATCTGAAAGGATTTGCGTGGAAGCGTAAATCTCCCGAGGTCGTTACAAGTGAGAACGAGGTCTACATCCGTCACGCTCGGCAGCCCCTGCGCAAGCGATGAGATGCCAGGCGGCCAGCCTGCTGACAGGGACGGAAAAGACAGGTAGCGAGATGAAGCGAGGAGTATTTTGATATTAGGAAGGTTGTAGAGAAATGTCAGGGCGGAAAAACATGAGAGGAAGGATTCAAACTCCACGTGAAGGATCAACATAATGATTAGTACTCTTGCAAGGTACCTTGCTTGATAGCGGCTGATGGCCAATAGAGCTACGCTGCAACAGCGCTTGCGGCTGAACCGCGCCCGCTTAGCATCCGTGCCACTTCCACCAGAGCCGAGCCGACCTTCTTGTTCCTGACATCTCCACTCACGCACCGTTCCCAAGCGTTGTGACTATTGCCCCAGATGCAGGGACAAGCAAGCTATTGTTCCGCGGACGGCATGATTGTGGCTCCACTACCAGCTAGTGAGTTACCTTGACGCGCTCGGGTCAGCCTTTCCCACAATTATCTATGCTGGCTGCGGTCAGGGGCAATGGCCTAGCACCTAGCTTTTCAAACGCTATAGCAGGATAACACAAGTAAGCGACCGACAGACTTCGGCGAAGAGTATAAGAGCTATGGTTTAGAGCGTAGTTGAGTATGCATCTCGTTATCAAAACACCGGACTTATATTACCCTACACTCATTTCGACAAATTTCCTTCTTTGCAATATTGCGAACTTTCAAACCCCCCAAGATGCAGTTGACACACTTCTTCGCCGCTGGCTTTCTTGTAGCATCGGCCTCAGCATGGCCCGCTCACCTTCGTCGAGCTGTTGATTGTGAATTCTCCGTTGTAAATCTCTCTGTACAAACTGCATATGAGACATACACTGACTTCGCACACCCATGTTAAGGCTATAGCTGATGCTGGTACGACTTGTGAGAGCTTTGCAGCTAGCTGGCGCCTGTCCGTCGACGAGCTCGAGCGATTGAATCCCGGCATCAATTGTCCCGATCTAGACTATGACGGTCTGTACTGCGTGGTCGGCACCAACACTGACGATCTAAATACAACTACCACTTCCATGGCTACCGCGACGTCTACAATGACCACTTCGGCAACCACTACCTCCACCCCTTCCACGACTATCAACTCCTCTGCAAGCACGAATGCTTCAACCACGACCACGGCTAGTAATGATGTTGCCACCTCATCTATGTCTTCAGATCTACCGGCATCTACTGATGCTGCTGATTCGCTTAGAGCGCCGGTCGTCGTTGCTGGTATTCTTGGGTGGGCCGCTTTGGTGTTGTAGATGCGATCATACAATTCTGGAAGAAGAAGAACTGGGTAATGATGTCACACGTTGATGAATAGGCGTTCAAACTCCCCAACCTACCTAGCTAGGCATGGTCACGAACTGCAACAGACTTTACTATGTAGCTACTTGTCAGCAGATCATCAGCTGCAACAAGATCACTCTTGCCGACGTTGTGAAGTGAAACAATGAAGACGGTTCAAACTGCCAAAGCATGTGGCCAGAGACTACCGTTTGCATTGGTGTTTCGATGGTTCGAAAAAGTTCGATACACGTATCTACTTACTCAATATGATAAACAAAAGACGAAAGCATGTGCCAAGGATCACTCGCGTTTAGATGACTAATGACATCTAGAGACCTTAACAAGGAAGTCATCCGCCGATTTCCAAAACCATTCACGTTCACTTTCTTTTTCTCTCTACTTTACTTACTTCACAGTCTTACACTCTGGCACTTCCTTGTGTCCATCATTCTTTGAACATTGATTTCCCTCAAGGCCCAGATCTAGTAGTCTCGTAGTAACGTTGTGCGGTACAAATAGCGTCTATGCAGCATCTGTCCTACAATTGTGCAGCCTCCTGAGTACTGGTTGTTTGTTTACGATCACTTGGCCTGACTGGAAACTTTTTGTTGTGTGATCAAGGCAGACGCGCATCAATCGAGTTGGATACTCGTTTTGGACCTATACAGTCACTGCGTGCGCGCTTCTGTGGATTGGTTCCCCAAGGTACACGAAAATATGTGATTTAATACGTACAGCAGGAAAACATCCCATGAGAGTCGACTGGTGCGTAATACTGTAGTCAGTAACGTACAGGGAGGCTCTTCTCTGAGCTCCAGAATATACCGGCGTCAGGCTGGAGCCTAGTGTATAGACAACGAAAACCACGAGTACATTGCGGCGAACACCCTGAGTAAATTCGTATTGTGGTACAACACTATGCTTTTGAACTGCGAGTATCGCTGATATCATATCCATCATAAGGGTCGTAATCCCATACCCCAAAAACGCCATCTATCCATATGTGCTCATCAAAGCATGTTTTTTATCGCTCTTAACGACTCCAGAACTTCTAGCAGAAAAATTACTGTGCGGCGGGAGCAGCATTGTTCGAAGTCTTTCCGTTGGTGATCTTAGGACCAACGACGGCCTCCTCAAGTGCTCGCTTTACATCGGCAACAAGATCCGCCTCATCCTCAACACCGCAACTAATGCGGACGAGGTCGTCAAAGACACCAGCGGCTTCACGCTGCTCCTTAGGAATACCGCCGTGTGTCATGGCACTGGGTACCTCGACCAAAGATTCAACGCCACCAAGCGACTCAGCCAGCGTGAAGATCTTGGTTGCTTGGCAGAAGCGCTCTGCAGCTGCGTGGCCGCCCTGGATACGGAATGACAGCATACCGCCACCCATTCCATCGCGGTGCTGCTTCAATGCAATGTGGTGTTGTGGGTGAGAAGGCAGACCAGGGTAGTTGACGGATACGACGTGTGGTGAGGCTTCGAGGGCCTTCGCAACACCTGTAGCGTTTTTGGTAGCTTCCCGAGCACGGAGATGCAGGGTCTTGAGACCGCGGTGTGCGAGCCAGCAGTCGAATGCCGAGGGAACAGCACCAATGGCGTTCTGTAGGAAAGACAGACGCTCATATAGCTCATCCGAGTTGAAGGCCGCAGCGCCCATGACAACATCGGAGTGTCCGTTGATGTACTTGGTGACTGAATGTACCACGATATCGGCGCCATGGTCCAAGGGATTCTGAACGTACGGGCTCATGAAGGTGTTGTCCACAACCACCATGATGCCGTGCTGATGCGCAATCGTCGAGATCTTGCGGATATCCACCAGCGTCAGGGTAGGGTTAGACGGCGACTCGATCCAGATGAGCTTTGTGTTGGGGCGAATGAGCTCAGCGATGTCAATCTCGATGCTCGGGCTGAATGTAACCTTGACATCGTGGGTCAGGGCTACCTTGGTAAAGTAGCGGTGGGTTCCTCCGTAGACGTCTGAGACGGAAACAACGTGGGAGCCAGCCGCGAGCGATTGGAGGATATTGGCCGTGGTAGCAGAACCTGAGGAGAATGCAAGCGCATAGCGGGCATGTTCGAGGGCGGCGACAGCTTTCTCAAAGTTGTCTCTGGAAGCGCGTTAGTAATGAAAGTGTAGAAAGTGATCGCAGACACATACCGGTTGGGGTTCGAGGATCGCGAGTACTCGTACTCGCCTATTGGCTTCCCAACGGCGGTTTGCGCAAATGTTGTCGACAGCGAGATCTGCCTCGGTCAGCTACGCACCCTTCAGACAATAAGTCGGCAGTACGTACAGGTTCAATTACAGCTCCCGTGACAGGGTCGTGAGGACTTCCGGCGTGTACGGCGAGCGTACCGAATCTGTGGACTGGTGATGGCGCGCGTGGCGGGGTGTCAATGGGGTGCTCGGGGACCGTCATCTTGCTCTGGTGAATGCTCTCTGGACAGCCGAGTCGACTTGGTGGTATAAAAGAACTTGAATTCAAAAATGTAGTGAGAGCAGAATAATTCAGAACAAAGTTCAGACCTCCGAGGTGTTGACGTCTATGGATGATTTATTGTTCTAGCGACGAATCCTAGCGCGCTTTCTATCGGTGGTGCCGTCGACCGTGATGGCGCGAAAGAGAATAATTCTTTCTGGCAGAATTTCCTTTCAAAGTGGAGATGAAAGCAAGGGGGATGATTCTTCGTGACTCCCAGCTTCTTATACCCAACAGGCCCCGTCCAATGTCTGGTATTTCTCAGCAACAGATTAATCAGACGGCGTTGGCTCTCCAACCGTGGCATGTACAGCTCGGCCCAGCGCGCGTTGGTTTCGTGAGCAAGCGGCGATGGTGTCATAGTATTCTCCGACCCGCCTTGTGACGGCCTTGGCAGCAGCAGATTACACATCGCGCTGCGGCCGCCACCAAGGACAGAAGGTTGTTCGGGCGAGATGCTGTATACGATTTAGAATACGTAAGCACGTTTCATCAATACAAGCTAGAGACATATGATTCGCATCGTAATGTGATTCAAGTGTGGAGTTATCAATGTGTCTATGAGTGCGCGAATGTCTATGGGTATCTCGGGGTATCATGGTGATGCTTAGTATGTATCCTCCTCTGGTCTGCTCTTGAGTTTCACGTATCCACTTATGCCTTTCTTTCGCGCTGTCTGCTCGCTCTCAGAAGCATCCCCTTTCCGTGATAGCAAAGGCCTTCCGTTTGTCGTAGTAGACGTGAGGTAGCTGCGTCCATCATCTAAACCTGTATTACCACGCCTTTTCTCGCCAACTACAACCGGGTCTTCAGCGATCAGGTTCTCCATATCTTCCCATTCCTTCTGGTTAAGCACGTCCCATTCTTGTGCTTGTTGCTCAGCAAGTAAGAACCCTTTCAGCTCGTCAACGATCTTCGTCGGAGACAAGCCCCATCCGCTGATGTATTGGGCGTTCTCGGCAATGCCGAGAAAGGAATGTGAAGTGGCATGCGAAAGTTGTCCGAAGCCTACAGGCGACTTGCGAAGAATCGATCTAGAAGACTTTGAAGCGGTAATGTCTTTGTCGAATGGGTTCTCAAGACGCTGGGGATTGTATGACTCTTGTGCGATCAGTAACCGATACAGATTGCGACCTATCGAACAGGTATCTTCCCACTGTTTGAAGCTTTCCTTCATGCCCTGTGTTCGGCATAGCCAGGCAACATTGTACGCAAGCAGGGATACGCCTTCGATGAAGGACGAGTATGCAGGAGGATCTTCTGCAGAGAGATGACTCAATGGGCGATCGACGAACAGTGCGCGTGGCTTCGGAAGATGTACACGCATATCGAGTGTGCGCGAGGCTTCTGGACTAGCGCTCGATGAATGCGACGGTGTTGAGCCAGGGAAAGGTACTTTTTTACCCTGGTATGAAGATGCTGGACTAAAGATGGTTGGTTGAGGATAGTCACTATGGGGCAATGTGATTTCGGCTGGGAGGCGGATACCCAGATAGGCAGCGACTCGAACGAGGAGTTGGGCTACGGCAGCCAGAGAGGCGGATAGGCCGTCAGGTGCGACATCTTTCCGATTATTAGCATACTGTCTCAGTAGGTGTGACAGAAACTTACCGTTCAGGTCTCGTAGATCATGAATCCGCAGGCGCGTGCCAGGCCCTATATTAAAGACCTCTTTAATGCTACCGTCTCTAGTCTTTCGTCGCTGCATCTTAAGTCCTGCGAGTTTCGCAGCAGTCGTGCATAGCTGCATGCGCAGGTCTATGGTATCGTGATGCATCTTGTCCGCATTGTAGTCGGACCTCTTGACTCTCTGTTGCACCTTATCCAGTTCATTCGCCCGCCGCGACTCGATGCCGTAAGTGGCGGATGAGAGGTCCGACTTCCTCTGCGCGTTCGCCGCACGCTTCGCCTCAAGCTGCTTCCTTGTGGCCTCCATCTGCTGTCGAAGCTGATCAGCGTGCTTTGATATCATTCCTAATCGCTCTTGAATTTCCACCGTTTCTGCTTTCGTCCGCTGCCAGTTTAGATTGTTCGTACATTCCTGCCGGTCAACCAAGAGGCCTCCTTTCGAGTCGGTGAGGGAAACATGCTGGATCGCCTTATCTTCCGAACCATTTACGATGGCCTTGACGTGTTTCTCGACGGCATCGCGGTCTATCAGCGTCTTTGCGAGTTGGATGCGGGGCTGTTCGAGGTACGAGCGGGCGCAGGTCATGCAGTGGAGCGGCTGGCTCAGGCTGCCTTCTCTCCCACAAATATCGCACTCCATGGTTGAGTGAGAATGATGCTATGTGATTTCGCCTCCAGAAAAGTCGTAGGATGGTAGGTCTGGAAGGTACAGCGAGACCATGGTTGGAGTGATTCGTCGAGGGGGTTGGCGAGTGCCTATGTATCCATGGGGATCGGCCAGTAGGGTGTCCAGTGAATATATATGCTTCGTGAATGTTGCAGCCCTTGTTTGAAGTAAGGCATAGATCAAGCAGTCAGACCAAGGTGAGTGAAAAGGCTGTGTGACCGAGACGGTGCTTAGGCAGAGGCGCGAGTCGCGAGTCAGACGCTCCTTCCAACGTCATGCCGCGACTGACCAAAACGAACCGCGCTAGTGCACGTGCAAATGGCATACCTGGGCAAGCATCCATCACCCTTTACTGCTGCAATCTTTAGTCTCATAAAGCTGACTTCACGCGTCGAATATCCTCTTGATGATGATAATAAGACGCGGTCGCGATCACTCCACTTACCCACAGCACTGACCGCCGCCAAAGGCATCGTCAATGACCAGAACTTCCGACGACGAACCTGAATCATCTCTTCCGTCTCGCGCTTTGCCAATATTCCCTTCCTCGCCTCCAATACTGACCCAGCTACCAAAAATTATCAAGATGGATGCAGACCCGGCTTGCAAGTCAGAGCCGTCCTTCACTCAGGATGCCCAACCAATGCGGCCAGCGAGAAGACGTGTGAACTCAGACGACACAGAGCGTCCACCTTCAGCCCAGCGTACGCAAGATGAGGTCGATGGCCAGGCTGATGCGAACGCTGGAGAGCAAACAGAGGATGAAGATAGTGACCCTGCAGGAAGGATCGAGGATTTTGACTGGGAAGATCTCCACGTTCGGTACCACGAGGCTATGAATGGTTGCCACAACGAAGAGTCGGAACTGATGCAGGAATGGGAAAGTCTTATGGCTGTACTACTATCCCTATCTGATTCCTATTTCTAGTACTAACGGCCTTTCCAGTACTTCCGTATCTGGGCAAATTCAGGACTTGAGCATGAGACTGGTCGGACCTACTCAAGGTAAACATACCTTCTGCAAAGTCGTGTAGCCTACTGACCATTTGCATCAGGCTTCGTACACGCATGGCTTATGTTCAGAACGCTGAAGAAGAGTTAGAGAAGAAGCGAAATCACTGTACGATTCATTGGATGTCCTTTCGTCACCTCTGCACAGCTAACATGTAGCAGACATCAGCGTGGTCAAAGCCTTCGAGAGTGCGCTCAACCTCCTCAAAGCCAACGGCATTGGTCGTTGATGCTCATCAACCTAGGCGTCATCTATCTTGCTCATCATCCACCGCAACCAGCAGTCTTACAGCGCCTTCCACGCTCCGACATCGTAATGTCACTGCTGCCTTCGTCTAGCCCCCCAACGTATGCTTCATCAACGATGCATCCAATGCGTTGCTCTATAATGTAACCATCTTTCCCAATACCGAGAACGACCATGTTGGAGAGATTCAGTCGCGACACACGATACCCGTCCGATAAATCATTTGAAAGACATTCATTGCCAGGTGTCTGCTCTATCTAAAACCCTAAATCAGCCGCTCAAGATTCTATTCGAAATGCACCGCCTTTTGCCAAGGTCTATACATGGTCCCCATGCCCTCCGTAGATGCGCTAAACAATGAGATGCCCATGCCCTTTTCATGCGAGGTATACCAGAAATGGTCCAAACGTGGTCCAAGCTTGTGATGGTGATGATGTGGCGAGTATTTCGTCTATAGAAGAGGGTTGGAGCGGTACTCGGGCACGACGCCGTTTGTTTGCGACTTCTCAGCCTGGTTCTCCGTCTCGAGTTCGTTGCCGACGCTGTCATCTTGCTCGGCAAGCCATTTCTCCGCCTCGAGAGCGGCAATGCAGCCAGATCCTGCACTGGTGATAGCCTGACGATACCGCTTGTCCTGAACATCACCAGCCGCGAAGACACCCTCGACACTTGTAAGACCTTCTCCGGGCTTGGTGATCAAGTAACCGTCCTCGTCCATATCAAGCTGTCCCTTAAACAGCTCTGTGGCGGGGTCGTGTCCGACCGCGTAGAACAGACCCTTTGCCTCAAGGGTCTGCTCCTCCTTTGTGACATTGTTCTTGACCACTAGTTGTGTCATCAGACCGTTCTTCTTCTCCTCGCCCTTGATCTCGCTCGCGCTGGTGTTGTACAGGATCTCGATCTTGGGGTGCGTTGTCAACCGGCGGGCGTTTGTTCGGCTGGCACGTAGCTGGTCCCTTCGTACGAGCACAGTAACCTTGCTCGCCTTCTTGGTGAGGTACAAGGCCTCCTCGACTGCCGAGTCACCACCTCCGATAACGACCAGTGGCTGCTCGCGGAACATGGGGAGGGAACCATCGCATACGGCGCATGCGGATACACCGTTACCCCAGTACTTGTCCTCGCCCTTAAGATCTAACCTCCTAGCCTTTGCGCCGGTCGCGATGATCAGAGCATCAGCGGTGTGTTCCTCCTCCTCGATCTCCTCCTCGTCACCCATGGGGTGTAACCAGTACTTGAAGGGGCGCGCTTTTAGGTCGACCTTCGCGACGGTCTGGGAGATGATTTCGGTGCCACAGGCTTCAGATTGTTCGCGCATTTGCTCCTACAGGCTTTTAGTACTAGTTTGCGCGTGGCTATCGCGTAATGTTACTGACCATGAGCTTTCCGCCTCCAATCTTGGTGAAACCGGGGAAGTTCTCGACTTCGTCTGTTGTGGTCAATTGACCACCTGCGGCAATACCGAGAGCCATGAATCCCTCGTACATGACGGCTGCGCATTGTTAGCATACTGCTGGAAATAGTCAAGAGACAGCGTCTTACGGTTCAGATCGGCTCGTGCGGCATAGATAGCTGCGGTATGGCCTGCTGGCCCCGAGCTGTGCACGTTAGCATTCTTCTCCTGTTTGCGCCGCTGATTGCAAAGCTTACCCAATGACTGCAAACTGTTAGCACTCTTCCAGTCACAAGATACTTGAGCACAACTCACTGACTAGTTTTGAATGCATGTTTCGCGACTGTAGTTTTGAAAAGGTCGATGCAGTCGAGAGCCCCGCTACTGGTGATACGCGCTGATTATGCGATGCCGCAGCAGCGATGGGTACGGAGAATAAGGATAGATTGCGGGGGGAAGAGGCCCTTCGAAAGATTGATGCGAACACTTTGGCGGCGTGTGCGAAAGTTCGCGTGTCGCGTGCAAGATGTGGCTGCGGGCGTGCGGGTCGTGTGCGGGATAGTGGGATGCGAAAGAAGGTGCCTTATGAGAGAGGGATCAAGTGGCAGAGAAGGAGCTGGAAAAACGGTTTTGATGTTGCCGCAGCCGGTTCGCAATTAGTGGGCGTTGTCTTTCTAGCTTCGGAGGGTCCGCGATATTGGTGGATGACGGCGAGCCGAGGCGTGGTGGGGGTTTTCAAGATGCAGATCGGGCTCAATTCTGAGTTGCAGTCAATACACAAGCACTTCAGTATAAAAAAGAAGACAGCGCGATAGAGAAAGAAGAATTCGAGAGTAGAACACACCTTATTTGCAAGTATAGCACATGTCAGAAGAAGGGAGATTTCTGCTTGCAAAGAAAAAAGTCGGCTGCTTGCTTTCGATCTACGCCATCGGCGGCCGGGGTCTCATTCTTAGAAATCGACCTGTACTAGACCCACGTTCCACGCAGTCCACGCATCTTGGACATCTCGCCCTCAAATGTCCGATGCTGACACGCTTATGCGCGACACGATGCGGCTCCCGAATCAGGGACCTCGGCAGACTTGTTCAGGAGTACTGGCCGGATTGTCACAGTTTCGTCCGGTCATGACCGTGGTCTGGAGAGGCGAGTATTTGAATGATTACAGTTCGTGCATGTTCTGGAGCCGCACACGTCACGCTTCACTTTCTATCTTCGTATATCGGCCCCGCGCTTGGAAGGAGCATCTCAAGTCCGTTGTGGTCTTGCAACGCTGCTATCTAATCTTCTGCGCCTGGACGCTTTCTGAGATTCTCCACATTGTAGAGCATGTCTCGCACTGCTTTGTCATCTGCAAGCAGCTTGTCACCACCCTGCTCGAAGATCTTCAGCATGTTTGCCAGCTCAGGATCTTCGTGCCATCCGCCAGCTTGCTGTCTGGCGAGGCATCGCAATCTTGGCACCTTGTATACATGTTAGTTGTCGGCTGCGAAGTACTTCTGAGCTTGGTTACGTACTTTGTCTTCCCGAACTTCAGTCGTTGAGCCTGGCTTTTGGACGCTGTCGATCGAGACGGCGAGTTTCAGCGACCCTGTAGAGGTGTGTATAATGGCAACACCAAGTGCGTTACCGCTCAATGGGATGGAATTTCCCAAGGTGGATACACCTAGTGTGAAGCCGAATAGCGCGGGTACACCCTCGCACGCCACGAGGATAGTTTCAGCCTACCGAAAATCAGAACGAAACTAGAAGGACTGAGGCTCAGTGGCACTTACCCCGTCTCTAGTTGGTAAACTCCAAATGCCCGTAACCGCAACTTTGAAAGTCGCAGACTCTACACCTGCCAGAACCAAGCCACGCTCCTGGAGATGGGCAAAGGCGAGATCTCGGATGGCCAGCTTCTCTCTCAAAAGACCATTTTGCCAGTCCCAGACAAACAAGTGATCGTCACCACCACCAGATACAAGTTGACCAGACTGTGTGAAGCAAAGTCTGCTTACGAACGCCTCGTGGCCGAAGCAGAAGCCCTCAATAATATGTGCTTGCGGCGGGCCTCTTGAGATTCTGATATGCTCGTCTCGATCTGCTGTGATGATGTAGCTTCGGCCCTCTACCTTTGTATAAACGACATCCGTGAGCATAGAAACGTGACCAAGGAGCAACTCGTGCTTGAATCGCATAGGCTCTTTGGATTTCGCTGGTCCCTTCGCTTTCTGCTTAAGCTGCTCTTCGAGAGTCTTCCTATTTCTACCAGAATGAACGGTCAGGGTAGTGGCGGAAGGCATCCATTCTTTCTGGTCCGGCTGTGCAGTCGCTGGTGTTTCAGATGGCTCTTCTACTTTATCGTCGTCAGGTGATGGGAGAAGTGGAAGTGCATACACATCGCCAAACTTGTCTGCACACAAGATAGTCGTGTTATCGGATGTAAGAATGATCGAAGAAGGTCGTCTCGACATGCACCTTCTCCAGGTCAATCTTTGAATTGGCCTTGCGTCTTTTGCTTCTTACCTTTCGCTAAGTTGCTGCAGTCGGTTCTGTGAATCGATCTGGAAGACGCGAATGCATTTGTCTTCACCAGTTATGCCAACCAAGTATTGTCCATCGCTTGAAAGAATGAGACTGGAAAAATTCGACTTCTGCTCCTTCGGTTGTTCCAATTTGATGCGTTTTCCTGGTCGCTCTTCGGAATCGCCCTCCTGCTGATCCTGCTCATGTTAGCGATGCGCAACCACTTCTTCTACCAAGTCGAATGCCACAACATTGACACATGATGTTTATCACGTCATCACTCACTTCAATCTGATTGTCTTGCGGTGGCCATGTCGTCGTTGCCCCACGACTGGAATGAGCTACGATCTTGGAGCCGCTCGCACCGAATATCACCCACTCTCCCGCAGATTCTGAGCTGTGCGCTACAATGCACTGGTAGGGAACAGACATGATGTTTGCGTCGGACACTGCCTGGTGGAGTTGATACTACTTTTCTATGAGGCTCAGAATGCGCTAGCGCGTTACGCGAGCAGGGGCCACCCACAGCGGACGACTTTGATTTTCGCTCGGTCGAACTTTCTCTTCCTTAAACCATCAACAACACCCAAACTAAGACCTTAAACATCCCTTTGCGTCACCGAACACAATGGGGGGCAAGAAAGAATCCAAGGCCGCTTACTTCGAGAAGCTCGAGGCTCTCCTCAAGGAGTACAAGAGCATCTTCATCGTCACCGTTGACAATGTCTCGTCGCAGCAGATGCACGAGATCCGTCAGTCGCTCCGCGGCGAGGGTGTCGTCCTCATGGGAAAGAACACCATGGTCCGCCGTGCTCTGAAGGGTCTTATCAACGACTACCCCGAGTACGAGCGTCTCCTTCCCCACGTCAAGGGTACGTCTTCCGATCCACGCGACCGCCGCGCACGGCATTGACAAAACTATAGGCAACGTCGGTTTCGTCTTCACCAACGCCGACCTCAAGGACACCCGTGAGAAGATTCTCTCCAACCGTGTCGCTGCCCCCGCTCGTGCCGGTGCCGTCGCCCCCGGCGATGTCTACATTCCCGCCGGAAACACGTAAGAACATACCTTGTGCAAATCATGCAGCAGACAATTGACATATGGCAGTGGTATGGAACCCGGAAAGACCTCTTTCTTCCAGGCTCTCGGTGTCCCCACCAAGATTGCCCGTGGTACCATCGAAATTACCTCCGACTTGAAGCTCATCGAGGCCGGTAACAAGGTCGGTGCCTCCGAGGCTACCCTGCTCAACTTGTTGAACATCTCTCCCTTCACCTACGGTATGGGTATCTTCCAGATCTACGACAACGGCCAGACCTTCGATGCCTCCGTCTTGGACATCGAGGAGTCCCAGCTGCTCAAGGCTTTCTCCTCTGCCATCGCCACCATTGCCAGTATCTCCTTGGCCACCGGCTTCCCCACTCTGCCTTCCGTCATGCACTCCGTTGTCAACTCCTACAAGAAGGTTCTCTCTGTTGCCATTGAGACCGACTACGAGTGGGAGGAGATCGCCGAGCTCAAGGACCGCATCGCCAACCCCGACAAGTACGCTTCCGCTGGCCCTGCCGCGGCTGCTACTTCCGGTGGTGACGCCCCTGCCGCCAAGGAGGAGGCCAAGGAAGAGGAGAAGGAGGAGTCTGAGGATGAGGACATGGGCTTCGGTCTCTTCGACTAAGCTACTCACGTTTGCGATGACACTTCTTGAGAGATATCGGCATGACTACGGTCTGTCGAAGCACGTCTTCATGATATAGACAGTCAACGACAATACGATCAGATGAACTCGAACAAATGTAATGCTCGTGATGCTCACAAAGCGTCTGCGTCAGGACATACACCTGGTAAGCCCACCCTCCTTCCACCGTCGCGCTGCTATGATTATTATCGCTTTTTAACCCTGATTCACTATGAGGATCAAAAACAACAACAACACTCTAATTTTTTAATGAGCAACCCTTGTTCCAGTCACTCGTTCTCTACATATAACAAGGCTCGAAACTGACTTTACAACAGATCTACTCTTTGCTCCCACATCTCGGTGTCCCGCAACCGTTGACGCATCAATTTAACTGTAGCTCACCCAGTCTTCGCCAGACATCCCGCCTTTTCTAGGTCTATACGCACCCAGAAGCACTTCCACAATGCCTTGCCTCCCAAGCTTTTGCACACGCTCTCGCTTTGTACATTGCCCGTGTACACATCTGCGTGCGACCATGCGTTCCCGTCGTGGTCTACTGCTAATCCTGGCGCATGCTGTCGGAACAACTTTGCCGCAACAGCCTTCGCTATCCCCTTGCCTCGATATGCCTCTTCTGTATGTAAGGTAACAAGAGACCCATCTAATCCGAGAAATGTCCACGCTACAGCAGCATCTGTTTCTTCTTCAAACACACCAACACTTTTTAGTGACATCAGTGTCTTCGTTGTACGTGGAATAGTTGTTCGGGCCTTGACAAGGTCGATGTCTTGCTCGCGCATATCCCCCCATCGCAAGCCCTGTGGCAGCTCTCGCGTTTCTGGTAAATCAGAGAGCTTGAACAAGAACTTGTTCAACTCGGCATCAGGGCCCGGAAGCTCATCTCGTAGAACTCCTGCTTCGCGAAGGATTTCGAGTACATCGCAATGAACCGCACCTAACGTAACGACCTTCGGCATAAGGAGATGTCGCATATATGTTCCTGGTGATATTTTGTATGCGCCATCAGCTGGTGGGGTTGGATGTTCTTCTTCGTGCTGCTTTGCCAACTCCAGAGCAGGAAGATTATCGGAGCGCATCGGTGGGGTGGGAAGTGTAGCCATGTAGTCCAATAATGCCATCACCGCCTTCTTATCCTCCTGTCGAAATTTTGGTGTCAAGTTTGAGCGAAGAGGCTGTTCTGCGCTACTGAAAATCCACAGTTCAGTTTCTGGCCGCATGGATCGGTCGAGGTATGCTGCTGCCCAACATTCTGGGATTTCAGAGGCCGATGGAGGGAATGTGGCGATTATGTGGGCGTGCTCAGTTCGGTTGGGGTGTTGGATTCTGTAGACGAGATTGACGCTGTATGGTAGAGCGGATTTCAGGGCGCGCTGTATGATGGGTGACGAGGCAGGGTGGGCGTGGGCTTTCATTTTTGGCCTCGATAACACTGAAAGGCTAGGAATGCAAGCACATGTGATGATAACCAGCCAGCTTTTTCAAAGTCAAGACAGGTAGTTATGGAAGCTCTTGAGTCACGACGTAATGCTTGTAGTTATGTACCTTCCGTGTTGGGATTGATTGATGACTAAGACCTGTGTTGTTTAGACGAAGCCTTCCAGGCTTGATCAAGCTTCAACTTCCTATACCCCTTTCCTGACTCCTGGCAAGACGTCACATCTCGCCAATCAATTGTATGTCTTCTTTGTCAACAATATCGATATATACACCCATGGTAACCTCTGAGCTGACCGCCGCTTGAATTTCTTCCTTGGATATCTTCGCCATAGCCGTGATATCGCGAACGTCTCGCTCATCTTTCAAGGAACAGCAAACGACCTTCACCTCGCATCCACGTCCACATCCACATCCACATTCCACTACGCACTGCAACTGTTTTGACCAAACCAACCACATCTCACTGTAAACTTAATCTGCTCTTGAACAGTATCCTGCGAGATTGTGCGCTCATAGTCTCTTGTTGACCCCCTTGCGTCCCGGCAGACACCGCACATATTGGGCTTCCCTCCATTCTCTATGCCAACTTCGTTCATGGTACCGCCGATGTCATTGCACATTGAAACGGCGTGCATATCGCGCCAGACATCGAGGTTACTGGTTCCGGACCAGGTGTAGTAGATGGCACAATCTTTGGCGAGAGCCAGGATGGGGGCCACGAGGATGAGAGTGGTGGTTGATAGTAGGTGCCTGGGGGACTGGTTAGTGACCGAGACTATACGAGGCTCTCTACAACCATAGACTTACATGGTGGCAGGCAAGGATCAGCAACTCGATACAAGTCCAGCAGGGTAGCAGGTAGAGAACTAGCCTAAGTATTGAGTTGGGTATAGACAAGACTGTTCAAAGTTTGTTAGTCCATTTGCTTCGTTATATACGGACTCTTGCTCGGCTTAGACACTATTATTATCCCTAACGGAAGACTTCCGTGCGATCCTTTTCGGTCATTCAATAGGGCCGTTTACGGTCATTACATAGGTATCTACTGCCTCTTGTAGCCATATCTTGGAACTATCTAGTGGCGCCTACGTGTGTTGGATATCAGAGCTGTACCATGGTATCAACTAAATGTAGCATTCTACGGGGTACTTGCGAAGAATCTTGATGAAGAATCTTGACTTGATGTCCTGCAAAAGATACCTAGACACTTTCTCAATAACCTCCTATCTAGAGACTTGCAATGCCCTAAATGCGCTAGATACTACGATGTTACCGTGTACGTCACACGGAGTCACGACAAGCGCAACGGATGATTAGAATAAAGTCAGGTAATTGTCACGCTTACAACTCATGTATTTGTGGCGGTGAGAGATGCTGTAATTACATTGTTGCCAAGTATAGGCACAACCATACCTACTCCACTATAAAACAAGGTCGTGTGCATAAGCACTTGTACAGAAATTGAAAAAGTGTCTATATTCAATGTTCCGTGCTTCAAAGAAGCTCTATTCAATCTGAATAACGTGCATGCGAGTCTGTCCGATTGTCCCGAAAGACGAACAGAAAGTCTTGTGTTCGTGCCATGTCCGTGTCAGTCTGGTAGCATCATCCATTGCTCTGGAACGCATCAAACTGTTCTATATATGAGCGACAAACATAGCGCCAGGGCACATCTCTAACAGTGAGAGCTACCGCAGTGTATGCTGTCTTTTCTTTTGAGACGAGGACATGGAAGTTGGCCGCCAGTGACATACACTAGGAAGATGACTTGAAATAATCCATCATCAGCATAGCAGACTACAGCGTGTGTCCATATGCAGCAACCGCATAGAAGGATTCCACGTGTATATGCCTCTTGTACCAATTTCGCACCCCAGAACATTAGACAATCAGTGTTGATGATCTCTGGGGATAAGATTCAGCCCATAACATTGTGAAAAGATGTAGGACAAAGCTGACACACCACAATCTTCACATCGTTGAAGGGTGGAGACACATCCATTACTTCGGGTTGGGAGACAACAATATCAAAACTTTGACTTTGTGTTTTAGAGAGCATAAATTTTGGGTATCGAATGAGGAGACAAAGGCAAGGGCATGGAAGAATGATGATGGTTGTGGTGATAGAATGATTATCATGATAATGACGATGACCATAGGATATCTCCTTACATACGTACCATCTCGTGTATTTGTACGACTCGCGACTTACAGCTCGTCTCTCTTTCTTCTCTGTCCACTTCCTTCTTGCTGCGCTTGTGTCTCCTGAGTCTGCGCCTCATGGCGCTTCGCGCTCTCCACATCCTCTTCCCACATCTTCTTCTTGGGATTCCTCGGCTTATCGCTCTCCTTCAGTACAGTTCCGTCGCCCAGTGTGACGGGTCCCTCATCTTCATCCTTCTTCTGTTGCCTGAACTGTGGGTGATCAGGCACCTCTTCCTGCTGCTGCTGCTGCCGATTTTGTTCCGCCATCTGGCCTACTTGTTGCGAGTAAGAGCCTTGCGGACTAGGATCCTGACCTTGCCTGTTTACTCCGCCTCCACGACCGACAGGGATGTAGTGTGGTTGGGCGTTGGAATCGCGTCGGGGTATTCCACCTGTTGCGCTAGGTTGGACAATAAGAGATCTGGAGGACGAGGAAACTGCGACACTCGATGATGCGGCTGAAGATGCGGCGCCGAAAGGCAGGACAGCGGAAAGGATGCGAAAGGTAAGCTTGACCGGCCAGATGAGGAACCAGGTGAGTGGGCCGTATAACCAGCGACGGAAGACGAGCCAGATGATTGTGGTTAGGAGGATGTAGAAGGTAGTCTCAAGATACCACGTGTCACTTTTTGTGCTCTTGAGTAGTGTCGAAACCAAGTTCTTGCTGTTGGCTAGTAATGTGTTTAGATCCGAGTACTGCTCCCCAAGATCCTGTAGGGCAGCGTTGGTCTGTTCGAGCGTTTCTTGTGCGAATCGAGAGCGCGATAGCTCGTCTTTCATCAACTGCGCTGTTCGGCGCAGAGCAGATGTGACGTCTGAAGATGCCTGAGCGACGACTTCGCCTTCTGATAGCCCCTGCTGTTGCTTTCGTTGGCGGTACGTAGAGGATGGAGTCGAGGAGCCTGATTGCAGGTTGGAGAAGAGGAGTTCGCGTTCCTTGAGCTTTGCGCGGTCGGCGTTGTGCTTGGCTGTAAGTTGTGCTTTCCGGTATTGCGATCGCGATCTACATGAAGACTGGTTAGCATGCCACACCAGAGGATGCAGTAAGGGGGAGACGTAGTCACGTACGACCTCAAATCCTCTGTCAACCTCGCCAGTAGTACAGCAAGTCTGCTTCTCTCGCTGTCCTTGCTACTATCCCTCCTTCGCCCAGTAATGCCACCTTGTGACGTAACGTCCTCGACCTCTTGCCTCAGAAGTTCAAGTTCCTCTTCAATCCCCTTCAAAGTCTCATGTATCTCGGCACTAAGTTCCAACCGAACGTCGCCTTCTTCGGAATTGTCGAGTGGTTGCGAGCCTGGCTGGAAGTCTAACTTGGCTAAGCGTTGGATGAGCTGGCCAACACCTTTGTTCGCTTCGGAGAGGGCGCTTAGGCGGGTGGTGAGGGATTGCGTGGTGGAGGGGAGGGGTGCCATTGTGGCTCGGGCTGCGGAGAGGGTCTGGTCGATGTATGCGACTGCCCTATGACGGAGATGGCTACGGTGGGCCGTTTGGCGGGGTGAAAGGGCGTAACGTGTCTGGACGGCTAGCTGTAGCGTGGCCCGCACAGAATCCTGAGCACGGACATATCGCGAAGAGGTTGCGACGAGCGTAGAAGACGTCGACTGCAGTGCAATTTTGACCCATCAGCCATCGGTACGCTGTCGCATCTATCTATCTTCTATACAAGCTAACAGAACACAGTCTGCATCGCCGACCCGCCTCTCTACAGTCGCCGCAATGATTACCAGATTCCTGACCGACGTCCGCGTAGCATTCAATCCCTTCTCCCCGCGCTCAAAACCCGCCCGCCTCTTCCTCTCCTTGATCCCACCGAATGCACGCCAAGATGGCATGAAGATTGAGTCCAAGATGCTGCCACGAGAGAGCAAGGAGCCTGCGAGCCTAGCTGTCAAGTTCAGTACGTACACGTTCCGCTCATTCGAATCGTGCATCTGGAGCAAACGCTAACATGGTCGCATAGAGGACGGCAAGGAGATGAAGCTCGATCTCAGCAACATGCGCATAACACAAGTCGTCGAGGAAGTCGACAGACACTCGCGGTCGTTGGCACGGAAAGACGAACTGGCAGGCAACTGAGGCTTCAGCATAAAGACATGATTGTACATAAGTATTAAACCACAGCATCGGTCGGCGTCACGGCAATATTCTGGGTTGGGCTGAAATGAGGTATTGATCATTTGTCTCATGACTCTATATACCGTCGTTGGTCGGCGTTATTCATGCACATTTATCTACCATCTACCCTCATGTTCTCACTCCAATGATGTTTACACTTTTTTCGTAACCATGGCTCCCATTAGAACTAGTTGGATGGGGCACCGGAGATGTAGAACCACTTGTCGATGCTGGGGTCGATAGGAGCGGGCGCCTTGTTCTCGCCCTGGGGGACGTTGAGCGAGCTAGCGTCGGTGCGGTCGGGAGAGTGCGAGACAGTGGTGTTGGTGCTACAAATTTGTCAGTAGGATGTCATTTAGCAGTAGGCAATCCACTACGTACAGGCTGATCTCATCCTTGGGGGTCTTGCCAGTGGCAAGCTTCTCCCAGGCCTCAGCACACTCGCGGACAATGTCCATGGCGTACTTCTTGTTCTTGCACTCGCCGGAGAAGGCGAACTGGTTCTCGGGCTTGCCGTCTGGGATCTTGTAGATACGGAACCACTCGTTTGTGGCACGGAGAAGACCGGGCAGGTGGCGCTCAACGTCCTCGACGTCGTTGAGCTTGGGGGCCAATGGGTCGTTCACGTTGATAACCATGATCTTCCAGTCAGTCTCGCCCTCGTCGAGCAGAGCCATGACACCGAGAACCTTGACCTGGATGACCTCACCAGGCTTGGCGACAAGCTCACCAATCTCGCAGACATCCAATGGGTCGTTGTCACCCTTGGCCTTGGTCTCCTGGTGAACAACGTTGGGGTCCTCCCAAGTCTGTACAACATCAGCACCTGTGTGATTGTCCGATATCGGGGTCGCGTCATCGTACCTGGGGGAAGGCACCGTAGTTCCAGAGGTAGCCCTTGTGGGGGAAGCAGTTCCTCACGTAGCGGAGCTTGCCCTTCTTGATGTCCTGCTTGATGGGGTTGAGCTGCTCCTCCTTGGAGATCTGTTGCGATGGTTAGCCTGTGTCTTTGCGCGGGACCGTGAATAGGCCACGGCGCAGCCAATTGGGGTCAACGCACCTCCATCTTCGCGTTGGTCCAGCGGGGCACCTCAACAACCATGTTGAGGATGGTTTGCTGCTCGTTGGCGTAGAGCGGGATGTCGTGCCATGGCGAAACGAGCTGGCCGTCCTTCTCGATGAAGATGCGGTGCTCGAGCGTGTTGGCAGCGCCAATCTTGCGTGTGGTGTAAGACATGGTGGATGGGCTCTTCGTGGCAGCTGTACGAATGGCTGTGGAAGAAGAAGCTGTGGAGTTTAGATGGCCTGCAAGTAGACGAGCCCTAGAGTTGATTTTGTCGTTGAGGGGTCTACTAGTGGGGCTGGCAGGCGGGGAGCTCTGTTGGGAAGGCGCCACTGTGACGAACGTCACCGCCGACTGTCTGCATGAGACAGCCGTCGCAATAGGGAAGGGGAGCTTCGACCGGGAGATCAATTTCTGGGCGGGACTGAGCCGCAGCAGCGATTGATAGATGGGCATACAGACGGCACTCGTTTAGTAGACTACTAGATGGAAGTGCAGCCGATTCTCCTCTCACGCGAAGCCCAGACCGAGGATCAAAATGCGACCATGAGGTACGGGAGCGGGACCCGGAAGCTCCAACTTTTTGTGCACGGACACCGAGGCTGCTCAAGTCGGCTTCTGTCCTTTGCGAATTCTTCTTCGAATTTTCGACATCACAGAGCGCAATCACACATCGTCAGGAGACCTGGGTCGCTTCTCAACATGGCTTGTCGACAGCTCGCGATTAGAGAGGGTGTTTGACTTCAAAAACAAACATGAGCTAACGCGCCATGCAGCAGCCATCACAACATCAGTACAGCTTATTCGGCCGCCAAAACCCAGGAGCCACGGTGTCGTTGACTTGTCTCAAATCCTGAACAGGGTTTTCCATCATTTCGACGCGATCTTCACGATTCTCATAGGTATCCACACCGCTCTCAAAACTATGCGACGTTGGCTCTTCCGGCAGCCCTTCCCAAACATGGTCATCGTACCCTATTGGATCATTCTGCTCCAGATAATCTTGGTCGGTATAGGGCGTTTCCAGATGACCTTCATTGGCTCCCAAGTGCAGAGGAAGCTGCTGGTGTAGTGCTTGTTGCTCATAGATGCTCGGGCCAGCAAAGTTTGGTAGTATCGATTCATGGTAGATCTGATCCACGAAGCGTACAGCAGGAGCCTGCTGAGTCGCACTGCAGAACTCTATTGAGTCTTGTCGGAGGTCCGACCTTGTGTTCACTCGGTGGATTTCTTCGGTAGGTCTCCTACGCGGCTCAGCAGCATGACGCCTTCGATATAACGCATCATTGCATTGTTGCAAAGCGAGCCCTAAATCTGAAGACGTCGGTATTCGACTCTGTTCAACGACGCTACCATCCTTAGGCTGGTTGTGGTGTCGATGCACAGCAAGAACGGGAGCTGAGGCTGGGGCAGGACCTGACTCGGTGCCTTTCGAGTTGCTACGTGTTCGAGCATGGCAGACGTCTATGACAGGTGCAGACTCAAGGGGTGGCATTGATGGTGGTGAGCCAGCAGTGTCGGCCTCTTGTAGCCTCGCAGATTGTTGGACAAAATTCGGCCTCTGTAGAGACGAGCTGCGTTGAGGCAAGGACTGCGACCTTGAAGCTCTATCTTGTAATGGAGCGGACGAAGGTATCTTGAAGCGAGCGCCTGGCATGCTATCGGTTCTTCCTTTTGTCGCTGCTAGTGGACGAGTTGGTAGCCTGAAGGCATCATGCTCTTTTCCTTTCCTAGTGTCAGATTCACTATAGGAATCTACATTATGCGGACTGTGACGGGTGGGAAGGCTGCAGGGCTGCGCTGGTTTCGTGCTAGGCGCTCGAATCGACTCTGGCCAAGATACGTAGCTAGTACTGTCATGTTGAGGGCCTCTACTTCCGAAGCCCAGGTAAGACGTTGGGCGCGCTACCACAACAGTGGATGTAGCAGTCTCATACACAGGGGGGTGATCACGGCGACACCGCTCGTTCCTCGAAGCAGCATGTTCTGGGAGCCTGTTGCTGTCCTTCTCGACCAATACCGGGCGCATTGAGGTAAAGAAAGCGGAAATCTCCCCCTCCTTCGTTTGTTTCTGGTCTTTTTTTCGCTTCTTTTTGGCCAGATTAGGACGTGCCATAACCTCTGGTTCGTCCCTTTCTTTCTGCAAGAACTTCATCTCAGAGAAGACTAGATCGGGCACTGCGACATATCAGCCGGAGGAGATGCAGGCGGACGGGGATCTAGGATTGAGCTATCTGATTTGCATCGACGTTTCCGTTTAGTGGACTCTACAGGCCGTTGATGTCTAACCGGCTCGCGCTGTGTTTCCGGTTGGACTATCTCGTCTAGCCACTTTCGAATGTCCATGGTATCCTGCATTCTAGATGAACCTTTTGGATGACGGAGTCTGATTGTGTCTTTGATTCGATTAATCTGTGAAGCTCGAAGGTTGATGTGGTGCTACGACGTGGCGCAGATGAGCGGGAGGTCGTGGTGGTGGATCGGCAACTTGTGCGATGGTTGGTCACTTTGGAAAGGGTGCCGACTGAGAGGCGTTCTCACAGTCTAGGACATATTGAATGTCCGTCAGACTCTGTGTAGTCGCCTAAATTCAATATCATGGAAGGTGCCAGTGGGTGCTATGATTTTGACGCTTCCGTCATCGCCAGTGCCACTGCACTGCTGAAAGAAGGCACGACCAATGGAGGACGCGAGTGAGTCTTCCATGTCGGTATCTCAGTACGTTCTACCACTGGAATGTGGAACAATCAAAAGCTCCCTTTAACTTCTATTTCAACTGGTAGTTTCCGGCATCATTGGATGACTTATCCTGCCCTGGAACCGGGCTCCGCGAAAGCATCATCTTGGCATCGTACTGCCACATGCGTCAAGCCGCTATCGCAACGGGACGAATGCGAACGTTCTCTTTGTCGGATTTTCTGGAGATGCACGTATTCATGGTACAGGACAATTTGTCCAGTTTGCGCAGCCTCGGTATATCTCGGTAAACGCTGCCACCGTGCCAGCTTTCCATTACCGATGATAGGAACGTGCTACATAGGGTCAACGAGGCGGTACGACACGTCCTGGCACAGCAAGATCTGGTCATATATCTGCCGCCAGTCTTACGATAGTGCCCTTCCAGCTTTCTACATGTTGACGTCGCGCGCACGAGCCAACCTGGGACGCAGAGGGCCTGGAAGTCTAGTTTAGGCCCGATCCCCACACCGTCAGACTAGGGATGGCGACTTGATAAGCTTCTTTGAACCACCACCTTCTGTCCAATGCCTGCCCGCCGTTGACCTTTCGTCACAGCCCGATAGTTTTGTTGTAGCGACGGGCGCAGATCGCTGCTGTCTGGAGCACGCAATCTGTTCTATCCGCAGGCTTGTCCATGCACGTATTTCGCAGCGACCCAATGACGCCTCCGCACTCATGCCGGCACTCTGAACAGGGACGATAGATCGGGGCACCTATCAGAAAAATCGTTTTCTCTGGCTCGCCAGCGGCCTTGTAATTGGATACACCTAGTCTTAGCCTAACGTGGGCTGCATATACCCAGCATGAACAGACAGACACGGGAACACACTAAAGAGCCAGCTTGCCGACATGTATGTATGGCAGAACCAGTATCTGCACCCTGTCCATCGTCAGGTGCAGGCTCCCAGGCAAGGCATTGGGACAAGCTAGCTGCGAGGGGCCAGTTCCGTTTGCTGTGCTGCAGGCCATGTCCGAACTACGAGACACTCTGCTTCGACTGGCTGGAGAGGCACATTGCATCCCGTTGCTCGTGGCCATCCACGTCGCTTTATAAACCGGGCCCTCAGCTATCCAGTCCGTGCGCCAACCTTTGACTTGCATACAGCCTAGCGCTCTTTCACCTGGTGGAGGGGTACTCATATCGTCGCTTGCCCCGCCA